ATTTATACTAATAACTTGGTGATTTAATTTAATCAAATAGACGCTAGGCAAAACTATGAGAATAGCTTTTATAGCTTTTTTTTCTCGAATAAGTGATTCACGTTTTGGTGGTATTTACATAATATTATTGGCTACAATTCATAATTTGGGAGCAATGTGGACGTATCCTGTCGCTATTGGAATGATAGATATCATAACGTTTAAAGAATGTTCTTTAGATCACAAGAATAATTGCTCTACACCAAATCTAAAACACGTAAGAAATTTAAATATAATTAGTTAATTAATACATGGAACGACAATATAGGTAATTAAGAATAGTTATGTTTGTTTATGACAACATTCTTAAAAATGTTTTGTTTAATTTTTTCATAGACTACCTACCTGGTTGATTAATATATTTACATTTCAAATATTAAGACGAGTCCTTTATAATACATGGACACTTGGTTGTTTTAACCACAAGTATAAAAAAAATATTTAAAATTAAATGAATTTCATTTGAAAACACAGAATAAATTATAAGATTATCGATTATAAATAGACATAGCCACAAAGTAGATAAAAAAAGTATCTTACCTATTATTTTTATTTATTTATTTATTTATTTTTATTTATATATATTATATCTACTTGTTGTGTTAATTTAAAATTTATAAATTATAGTTTTGTATTTCTGTCAATTTAATGGCATTCAAATAAGTAATTAAAATAATATTATATTAATTTTGTATTTATATTATTTCCTACTTTTTTTCTGTTTATAGATGTGTTAAACAAATGGAGGGGATTGCGTTGTTGTAGTCATCGGTTATTACGTAGAAACGGCTGTGTGTGCCATAATCGGAATCATTTGGTTTTGTATTTTCAGAAATATCCTTAAATAGGGTTCTTAAATAGGGTTTTAAATTATAATGTTATAGCTACGTCGGGACTAGTCTTTTAATACTTATTAAATACTTTATTCAAATACGTATTTTGAATAATTTTTTTCGTATTTTTGTATTCATTAAAATAAGGGATAAAGTTCATCATCTAAATCTGAGTATATCATCTACCTATGACAAAATCAAGAAGTTTTATTTACCTATAAAATGTTTTAAAATTCGACCTATTAGGCCGGATACTCTATTTTCGAGTCATTATTTTCATTACAGCATAATAAAGTGTTTATTTAAGTTATTATTTTTAACTTTAAGATTCTATCAAGATTAACTTATAAGCTGCATAATATTATATAATATTATATTATACAAGCAAACTATTTCAGTCGCAGGCGACTTGTGCGGCATGATTTAGTTTTTGGTTTTTAATATTGATTTTTATCTTTTTCAATTTAAATTTTGGTTTTAATTACCGGTAATGATTTTTTTTGATACCGTTTTCAGTTTTGGTATCGATTTCGGGTTTTAACGGTTTTAAATTTTAACCGGTATTCAAAAACAGTATGTCGGCATTCGATATCGGTTCCAAGTCCTGCTTTTTGTTGTCACGCTTCTGTCACGGAAAAGGTAATTTCAGATATCTACGTGACAACCAGACTATTCTACGAAAACAATTTCATGAAAGAAAAATGTTAACGAGTTTTGGAAAGAGGTTATAATATGAGTATAAGATGCAACCAAAAGTTTATGTTTTGTAAGGGCCGTGGTATAGATTTCAGTGTCAGGTTGTGCAGAGGATACGCATCGCAATTTTGGGGATTTCCATTTTCCCTCTAGCTCGGCATATCATATCAAAGTCTATATTCGTACGAGTAGTTTTTGAGTAATTTAAGTTTATGTTCTAAGGATAAAAAGTCCATATACTAAAGAGTTTATAAGATTTTGGGGGCTATGGTGATTTGAAAATTGTAGTCATTAATATTAATCTATCGGTGTTAATAATTTTTAAAAATATAAGTATAGTATAAAAAATACTAGATCCAATTTTACGTCTATTTTATATTTATTTAAAACCAATTTTGAGGACTATTGTCCTCATGACATACATTTTAATAACTATAAGAAACGACTCATTCGAATTTTGAATGTGGTATATCAAAATGTTCAAAAAAACCATCCACTTATTAATTTATAGTAAAAGAGGGAGTTCTCATTTGAACAACAAAAGTTTGTATCAACACAGGATACTCCTTATGAGTCGTACAAAAAAATTCAAGAATTTAAAATATGGGCTTCGAGTATATTTAAAAATTCCAAAAATCAGAATTCGAATAAATTCATCACAATTTCACCCTATATATCTTAGTCCATGTACAACATAAATACAGATTAAATAAACGTAAAAATGGAATAAAACATACAAGACATGTTCAAATAAAGTCCAGTGTTTCCAAACCTTTTTGTAATGGTGACCCCCGAATTTACTGCTTATTGGTTACGAGACCAACCCTCACACACACTAAAAAAAAAACATGTGATAATAATATAATATTATTAATAATAATTTGTATTATAAGCAATTATAACGTTGCATTTTAATATAATACAATAATACAATACTGAATACTGAATACATATTTGTATCTAATAAAGATTATTTAAAAGACTATTTCGTTAGGTAATTGCATAACTTCGAAACCAGAATTTAATAAAATCTGTACTGTAATAAATTACGACTACTTGATTTTATTAATTTAAATTGTCTGTATTGTACTGAACTGCCTGATGGAACTGGTTGACTGGTATCATCGGCTGTAGTTTTACGAATAATACATGTATCCATTAAAAAAATAAAACTTAAAATATACAATTTGATTATTTAAAAATGGGCGTCTAATCGTTAACTTAAAACATTTCGTTTGTACCTACTCTCGTAGTCTTGATTTACTGTTCATTGCTCTTGCTCAACCGTATGGACAATCAACCGATACTGCATCGACAGCTATTATCACATTTACCGATAAAAAGTTACTAAAATTATATTGATATCTATGTCCTATATTCTACATTGTAAAATCTACAATACTAGCTAGACTTCACATTATTATTGTAAGTAGAGCGGTACCAAATAAACATAACTTAAGCATTTATAAAATTATAAATATACGTCTAAAATTATTTTCATTTATTTATTTACACGTAGCCAGTTTCGGCCCAAGGGATCCGACTACTCTATTGCTAAATTGCTTACATGGCTTAATATATATATAAACCAAAAAATAAAAATTTGAATTCAAGCGGAAAACTAGTTTGCTGAGCTGATGAAACTACATTTTGTTGAAGACCAGTCTTGGGATGAGTTATTTGATAGCACACGTTCCGATTTGAGTAAAATCCAAAAGGTGGCTATGTGAAAATAATTTATTCCTAAACATAGAAAAACTTATTTTTTAACACATTATATAGTTAATTCGAATAAACCAAAAAAACAAGTCTATGTTTACATGATGAGGTGTGTTTTAGTTAAAATATATGTGTGTGCCAAACCTTCGTAAAAATTGTTAAAAACTGTAAGTATATAGGTATAGAAATCTGTCAGAATCTTAAATATAATGATCACATATAACTTATAGCATATAATTGAAGAAAAAAAGTGTATGCATTTAAAAATGTAACAAATATCTTAGAACTGAAGAAAATTAGAGCAGTGTATCAAACATTAAAATAACCATAATTAACTATGGTATTTCTATACAGGGAAGTAACTATAAATCCATTAAAAAAAAAAAAATACAAAATAAAGTATTAAAAATTATTAAATAAAAAGCTTTAAGATACCACACAAAATACTTATACAATGATGTGAATGCCTGTTAGTTAACAATTATTTTATGAAGCTGTGGTACTTTACATAGTTATAAATAATCTTACTTTAAAAACTGAAAACAGACATAATAATACTAGATGAATATTTAATATCAAAGTTCTAAGTTCAGTAGTGGCTTTATTTTATACTGTGTATTGATACATATAAATATATTGTAAATTCAGTAATATTTTTAAAATAAATTTATAAGTAAAATTAACAACAATACATGATAATTTATTATAGTGTGAAGTCAATCTAAATTTATATGTCCAAGACTTTAATCCATGTTTCCTTCGTAACTTTATTATTTCCATTGATATCCAACTCGAACCTTCTACTCGGGCATTCGTCTGTAATATGTGTTATTGTCATCCACAATCACATTCTGGGTTGTTCTTTAGTTTTCATTTGTACATCAAATGACCACAAAATTATCTACTAAAATGCTGTTCAAATAAACATTACATTGTGTAACTAAAATGTTTTCGAATGTAAATGAGAAACGGTTACCAACACATTTTGTGATAAATTATCAAATAATAATTAGTCATTGTACTCGACTTTTTTTTCAATTTCTTGAAAATTCATATTAAATATTGTATAAGTAATATGTGGAAAATGGACTTCAAAATATACAACTATTTCAAAATATATACTATTGTGGGAAAAAAGAGCTAATTATGCAAACTGCAAAATAAAAAATATTGCCTTACACTCCTAGTATTATGAAACAAATGTATATATAACTTGGTAGTAAATATTTATATTTATCGATAATATTTGTACATAATTAGAATATTATTTTCTATAAAATAAGTGGGGGGATGGAAAATGTGAATTATAAAATGTGGAAGGAGCCAGTGTGAGCCCCACTAGAACTGTTTACATGACATTATTGAATGCACTATGACATTTGGAATTACCGACATCGACTTGAAACCACTTTTTTTACGATTTCAATGATAGATTTTTTAAAATTCAATATTAATATTGTCCTTAATACATTATAAAAATAATATTGTTCTGCATCTAATTTAAAAAAACGTTAGACATTCGTTCATTTTTAAGATAGAGAGAAAACGAACACGCTTAATTATACCCAGTACCCCACCTTATAATTCAATTTACCTGCCTTATTAACATAATAATATTGCCATAACAGAATATTTTGAATAACTTCGTGTATAACGAGTTTGTTCACTTTTATAGTATTATAGTAGTATAGTTTTATAGTAGTTATAATACTATAGTATTAAATATTAATTCAGTATAGGTACGGAAACTGATGCGATCAGTATAATTATTTTTTTATTATATTTTGTTATTTTTAGTGTACACGTGTTATGCAATTGGTGTTTAAATAGCGACGGATAAACCGTAAACATGACTACGGTACAACAGCTACGAGATGAACTAGAAAACTTCAAAACAGTGGCAGTAGTTGATGACTCAGATTCAGCTGAGAAGCCTAATTTGAAAGGAGATTGGTTAAATTTTTTCCTATTATTGTTGTTGTACACGATGCAAGGCATACCATTTGGTTTAGCATTGGCGATGCCGATAATTTTGCAAAGCAACAAAAATGTATCTTACAAAGATCAAGTAAATATCTGATTCCACCTTTAAAATTGGGTACCAGTGTGATTAATATTGCATAATAAAAACTTTATTATTGATTTGTATCAAAATCTACGAAGTTATTTAATTTACCGTTATTTATAACATAATCGTGGTCGTATTTTGTTCCAGGCTATGTTCAGTTTAGTCGCATGGCCGGGTAGCTTACAACTGATATGGGCACCGATGGTAGACGCGCTGTACGTACAAAAAATGGGAAGACGAAAATCTTGGCTCATACCGGCTCAATATTTAATGGGTGCGCGTATTAACATACATTTTTCCGTTAAGCACGTTTATTTAAACGAGGAAGTATATTTTTAGATTGCTTTATAATTTGCAGAGGTACCAACTTTTTGGTATCAGTTTTTCGATTATATTATTTACTGATTCATTGGAAATATTAAGAGCGGTATAAATATCTTATACAGAACAAATGATTTCTATTGATTGTATTAAATGATCAACAAATTAACTATTAAGTCATAGTTAGCTTTTTTGAAGTGTTTCGAAACAAACTCGTTTATTTTGTAGGTAGATAGGCAGGTACTATAGAATCTTTTATTATATTCTTGACATTTTTTTTTATATTGGGTGATATTCATCCATGAGCACTAAATATGTTATACTCAAATTATTAAAATAAGTATTTATACCATTACAACCAAATCTAGTTGAGGGCCAAATTTATTGGATATTGTATTATTATGTTAATAAAAACTAAATTTGATAAATCATATAATATGTAATTAAGTTGACTATAATTTCGTAGAAACGGAAATAGTTTCTTTATTTTTAAGTGGCAATGTTAGATTCTGAGCGGAACGATGAATGTAATGATTTTACAACGATGTGTGTTTTATTTTTATTTATGTCTGTTATCAACTTTTGATAAAGTAAAAATTCTTTGATTTTCCTTAACAGAATCTTTTCTAAAAAGAAAAGTTAATCTAGTTTATAACGTACAAATTTCTAATAGTTTTCAAAAGCGTCAGGATAAACAAATGAAAAAACAAGGAAACACTGAGATTTTTACCTAAAACCAGTTTATGAAAAAATTGATTTTGTTTTTTTAGTGGAACCCTAAAAAAAAAAATATAAATACATAAAATGTTCACTAAATGTTTATCTAAGAAATATCATTACAACTTTTTGAGCTATTTATAGTTATTTATTTTGGGTTTTATTGATTTTTTTTAAAATTATGCCGATAAAAATTTTTGTTTGAGGAAAAAACTTGAAAATATGAAACAAAGTTCCTCATGAGTTGTTGTTATAGTGGAAACAAAAAAAAAATTCAGCTTTAATCCACAATAATTTTTGAATTTTCAATGATCATAAAAATCCGCGCGTACAACGGCTTAAGTTAGTCTACTGTAGTGTAGTTTATTTTCCTTCTTTAAACTATTTGTGTCGAACAGGAGCATGCTTCATTTATATGGCTGGCAATATTGATGAATGGTTGCCAGAGACGCGAAAGCCAGATATACCGAAGTTAGTATTAGTATTTTTCATCATGAAGACTTTGACTGCCACGCTAGACATAGTCGTCGACGGTTGGTCACTAACAATGCTGAAAAGGTCGGTGCTATTGTTAATTATTTTATTATTTCAAATAAGTATAACATGATAAATAATAATTAATTACTAATTATGTTACATAATTTTGATAACACACAGGAATAACGTGGGCTATTCATCTACTTGTAATTCAACAGGTCTGGCGATGGGCATAATGATAAGTTATTTATTTTCCATATTATTGACGTCAGAAGACTTTAGCAACAAGTACTTACGGATTAAGCCAGATCTGGGAGGAGTGTTCACTATGAAGAGTAAGCGAGTAAAACCCATTTTGGAAGATCTTTATTGAATAATAAATCTGTTTGTACTCGGATGACAATTATAACTGATTGTCAAAATATAAAATATTTACCAATTATTCTTAATTTATAGGTTTATTCTATGCTTGGGGTATTCTTTTTCTATTAATAACTACATTAGTTGCAATTTTTAAAAAAGAAAAAGATAACAGATTAGAGGACAACCACGTAAAGCTCAACATTGTTCAAAACTATTCACTAATTTGGGGCATTTTAAAACTACCTGGTATTCAATTATTGGCATTAACAATGCTGACAGCCAAGGTAAATATAATATATAGATGCGATTTTTTGCTCAGTCAAAATATTTGCAAATGTTATACAAGGTTCCTTGTAAGTTTTTGTTAGTGGAAATTAAAAAAAAAGTTGAGCGTAAATCCACAATCATATTTTATGAGTGTTAAAACTTAGAATTTTGACAAAATTCGTAAAAATCACGAAAATTAGCAAATTATATTTAGTTAGAAATTTATAAAACATTTTCTATTTATATCTAAGATTTAAAAATGTAATCCAAAATTCCTTGCAAGTTTTTTCTACCTTTACCAAAAAAAATTAATTTATTTTTCAAATTAAATTTGTTATGAGCGTTTGAAGTTGAAATGTTTACAACATTGGAGAATATCCAATCGATGATTTGTCCTATAGCGATTTTCTTATTTTGTTGTAATTCAAAAACGAATTTCTGTAAACGTTTGAAATTTACACCAAAAGTTTATTTGATCAATTAATATGCTTGATAAAATTTTCAAAATATTTTGACTCGTTAAAGCTGTTGATGGATATTTCCAATTTCCAATTTTTTTCCATTTTTTTTTCTGTAAATGGGAATACAATTTTTTTGGTTGGGTCGAAAAGCATGAAAATATAATACAAGACTCTTGATAACTTGTTACAAATAGCAGTTGAGAAATATTAAAAATACATAGGCATTTTTTTATAAGCATTTAAAGTTCAAATGTTGACAATATTTGTCAAATTTAAAATTGAAAATGATTTTGTAGTTGAAAATGTATACAATTTTCAATTTTTACAGATAAGGATTGAAATTTCAAAGAAAGGTCCCACTTAAGTAGTTTTTTACGTAACTAAGCAATCTAAAAATATATGAATGCAATCATTTTTATGGACATTTTAAGTTCGAATTCGGACAAAATTTCATGTTAACAAAGAATAACGTTTATCATTTTATTGTAATTCGGTTCCAAGACAGCCCAATTTTACAAAGGTTTTTTCATATTTTTCTAGCATCACAGGTAATTTAAGAACAATATTAATTCAACTTACCGGCTACCATATTAATAATAATTATGACAATATGCAATATCCTAAACTGACATACCGTCTCCGATCAGAATCGTTTTTCGTATACAATGATTTGATATCCTTGAATTAAAATTTAATACTATCCAATACAGCGACCTCTTAAACACCAATGTACAGCAAAGCGACATCCACATACTCGCTTTTTATATTTTTATCTATCTGTTATAATTATGTGTTATGTGTACATTATTTAAGATTGGATTTGCTGCAACCGACAGTCTTGCAATTTTGAAACTCATTGACGCAGGAGTACAAAAAGACAACATTATGGTTATACAGACAACAATGTATCTTGTGAAAATGGTTTTGCCACTGGTTGTAGCGAAATGCACCTCTGGTCCAAAACCTCTGAACATATACCTAACAGCAACACCTATCAGGTATATAAACATAAACATAATTAATTTTTCCTTACTGCATGTTTTTGAAAAAAAACAGATCACACGCAGGCCGCTTAATCATTTTAATTGATTTAAAAATACATAGTATTAAAATCCATTATTTTCCTGTCAATGAATTTGGTGTGCTGTTAAATAGTTTTATCCATACTGTAAAAATATAAAACAAGATACAATACATTAGTATAATTATTATTCTTGGCATTTGAGTGATTTTAAATATGATTTCAGATTACTTTTGAATATTTCATTTGGGATATTTATTTACTACACACCGACATTGATAACAATGAATGGGTTCGTCGACATTCCAATATATTACTATGCTCTATTAGTATTTATATTGTCAATGCATGATGTGAGTAATTATTATTTATTAATTTATAAGTGATTCAAATTCACACAATTTTAATTCAAAAACTGATATAATAAATTTTAATATCAGTTAAAAAAACATTTTATGTATAGTAATACTTTGTGATTTAATTTCTATAGATTCTAGATAACATTATGAGAGTAGCTATACTAGCTTTTTTCTCTCGAATAAGTGATTCACGTTTTGGTGGTACTTACATGTCATTACTGGGTACATTTTATAGTTTGGGAGCAGCATGGTCGTCTTCGGTCGCTATTGGAATGATAGATTTCTTAACGTTTCAACAATGTTCTGTAGATCACAAGAATAATTGCTCTACACCAAATCTGAAAAACGTAAGAAATTCAGATATAATTAGTTGATTAATATAAACAATGACAATACTATTTAGAATAATATAATATAATACTATAGCATTCTTAAAAAAGTGTTGATTAATTTTTTTAAACAAATTGTTCAAGTGGTTGTTTTAATCTAGGTAACAATCTCAAGTTTCAGAGAAACATTCAAAATTTTAGAGAATTCCATTTGGAAACACAATATAAAACATAAAATAATCAATTATAAATAGACAAAGCAAATAGAACAGTACCTAATATATACTATAGTTGCGTTAATTTTTTTGAAATTTAAAAATTATAGTTTTTAATTTTCAGTCTTTGTTTACACCTTTTTTTCAGGGATATGATATTAAAAAAAGTATTTTTTTTATTAAGAAACACACAATCTGTAGTTTTTATCGTAATTAGAAATAAGTGTATGTGATGACAGAATACAATTAAACTGCAAATTTTTAATGAGAAGCCACCCATTAGTGATACTCGACCCTTAAGTGTTTGAAATAGTTTTTTATTCATTTTATATTTACATTCTTTCCTATACTTTTGTTTTCTGCTTTTAGATGTGTAAAACAAATGGAGGGGATTGCATTGCTATAGTAAATGGTTTTTACTTAGAAACAGCTGTGTGTACCATAATCGGAATCATTTGGTTTTGTCTTTTCAGAAATGTGCTTAAAAATGTTCAAACTAAAGACCGTTCTTATTGGTTGGTCAATATAAAGAGACAAATAAAATAATATTGTATAGGTAATGTGTTTAAATGTGGATTGCTCTATACCCGTTTAGTCACAGTATCAATGTGTCATAGTGATGAACATTTCGAAAGAATGTATTTTTTTTATTATTTTAGTATTATGTATCAATAATTGTTATTATTTTCTCTGTTGAGGATTTAAATTTTAATGTTATAGTAATGTTGTTAGTTTGTTACTTATAAATTATAATATAACGATAAGTTATATTCGTAACATACCAGTTCGATAGGAATAAGGTTAACCATTGTGATCTGAATATAATATATATCATCTATATATGACGAAATTAAGTTGTTTTATTTACCTATAAAATCTAATCCTGATATTTCTGTGTACCTTCTCAGGAAAGTCGGATCTATAAAATGTAATAAAGATTATTTATTTATTTTTTTTATTAATCTTATTAATTACAATAATTGTTAATCGATGTGGCATTAGCTACAAGTTTCAGTTAGAACATATTTTCATTTGTTCAGAGTATTTAAACTGAAATTGGATTATTATATAAGTTCATACTAGTTAACTTAATTAACATAGAACTATAATTTTTGCCATAACTTACAAATTAAGTTTAAGCGATTTTTTTGCATTTTTTAGTTTTAATAAGTTGCAAGATTTGCGAAGAAATTTCGATTTCATAAATTTACCAGTTACGCACAGAAGATTTAAAAAAAAACATAAATTAATTTAATTGAATAATATTTGTTCAGTTTGATCTATTATACTTTTATAATTTATAATGATTTATTACAATAATATTGTTAATCAATGTCGTAATTACCATGTCCATTTGTTCATAGTATTTAAACTGAAATTGATTTCCCATATAAGCTCTAATCGCTCAAACTTAATTTGTGGGTTAAAACTCTTCAAAATGCTCGGTTTTTAAAAAAACCGTGTTTTTGAGTTTAAAATACTAAAAATATTCATTTTTGGAATTTTGTTTTTGGAAATATTAGTATTTTTACTTGGCGTGTTTTTGAAATCAGACTACCTATCTCACTTAATTGTTATGTTATTAAGCAAAGCAAATCTTAATTGTAGGTTTTACGTGGTTTATTAACAATAACATCAAAAGTAATTAAGATAATTAAATTCTGATTTCACCTACACGTTGAGCATAGAATACTAACATGTCCAAAAAAATCTAAAGAATGTTTGGGAAGTACATCTACATTCGTTCCTAAAATTTGTGTATACCGCAACACAGAATTATTTAAAAATCGGCTTTCTTAGCGCTCTTGGCGGACAATGCGCGCATTAAATACAGCCAAATAAAGACTCAAAACTTTCTTAATCAAAGATAGGTTGTGACCAAACCGTATTATCAACGGGCGCTTGTAAAGTCACGTTCCATCCTTCAAAATGTGAAATTATTTATTATCTTTACCTTATAATTGTTGTAACTGCTGTACCATGATGTGGTGTCGGGTTACGTGTTCGAAAATGATATGTTCGAATAAAATGTGTTCGAATGAAAAGTGTTCGAAAAAGCATATGTTCGGATGAATTTTTGTTCGAATGAATTTTTGTTCGAAAACTTTGTATTTATTATTTTGATATTATATATATTAAAATATCTATTATCTATAGTATATTCCGACTATTATACCGTTAACCAGGGAAAGACGGTTATTTAAGACTTATATTTAACAATTAACATTATGGCGCGTTTCCCTCGTCGCAGTCGTCGGGCTCCGGCCTAATATAGTATCTGATATATAGAGCAATAAATTTTATCTACTCGTTATATTATCGTAAGCTTTATCATAATATGGGTTTCTGTAACATAGGTACCGACTGTAATTTACCTACTGCTGCAGTATATTTCCGATTGTCAGACCGAATGAAATAGCCAACAAATATGTCGACGTGTACTATAAAATTAATATCTACTATACATAATAAAAATATGTTATTAGTTAATGAGTATGAATTTATGTTTAATAAAAATAATTTTCGTAAACGGGATAATGAAAATGTGTACTATTGGATCTGTGTCAAAAAATGTGGTGCTAAATTTCGAACAATTATTAAAAACAATGAACATGTTAAAGACGAGTCGTGCATATTAATGGATCATTCACATGCACCAAATCCTATAAAAAATGAATGCAAAATAATTAAAAATAAAATCAAAACTGCTGCATTGCAATCTCAAGATAACCCACACAAAATTTATCAGGAGCAAATAATTGGAGTTCCTTCTGTTGTCTCTTCACAAATTAGCAAAAATGCATCAAAACAACTTATTAAAAGACAGAGAAAAGGTAAATTAATCGAACCTTCTTGTATAGAACATTTTAACACTCCTATTGAATTAAAAAAAACATTTTCTGGTCAAGAATTTTTAATCAAGGAAATTTACGATGACAACAATAGAATAATTATTTTTACAACATTTCAAAATTGTTTGTATTTAAAAGAATCAGAGTTTTGGCTTGCAGATGGAACATATAAATCTTGTCCTAGTTTCTTTAAACAATTGTACACAATTCATGGATCTATTAAGAGAGGAAACGACCAGATATGTTTACCATTAGTGTTTACCCTTATGACAAATCAAACTGAAAATTCGTATAAACTTATGTTTACAGCACTTAATGATTTTGCTATTGAACATCGTATTAATTTTAAAGATAATAAGGATCTTGAAATTATTACTGATTTCGAAATTGCTGCTATAAATGCCATCAATGATGTTTTTCCATTTGCAATGCATTCTGCGTGTTTTTTTCACTTTTCACAAAATATTTATCGTCACATACAAAAGGAAGGATTAACGACCAAGTATATGGAAGATCAAAACTTCAACTTACTTTGTCGACATTTACCAGCATTGGCTTTCCTTCCAGTTTCCAAAGTACGTATATACCGCGAATTTTAATGCCCAGCATTATTGTTAATATCATTAACAACACATTTTCGCATATTTTCCTAATAAATATATATTTTATTTATTTAGGTCAATGAAAGTTGGAAACAGCTTAAAGCTGAATTTTCGAATGATGAAAGAGAACAAAAATTAATAGATTACTTCGAAACAACGTATGTTACTGGTAGATCAGTGAGACTCCGCGGGCGAAATCCCCAAGTACGACCCCCGTTATATCCGCCAGAATTATGGTCAGTAGCACAACGAGTTGAATATGAATTGCCACGGACTACTAATATCACTGAATCTTGGCATAGTCATTTAAATAGGTAATTTTAAAATTGATAGAATGTATACATTTTATATTTTATATCATAATATTGTACAGGTTGATATCGAAACATCCAGGTGCTTATAAATTCATAACACTTCTTCAAAAAATGCAGCACGAGAACGAAAGCTTAATTGAACAATTTATACAAGGCAGAATTGTAAAAAAAATAAAGATATCCCGACAACAACACGAAGAAAGAATTAAAAATTTAGTTTTAAGATTTAAAAATAGTAATCAAAATAACATTGAGTTTTTAAGAGGCATTGCGTACAATTTACACTTTTAACTTGAATATACTTGTATATACATTTATTTATTTTACTGGACGATAATATACCTATAATTTAATAATTTTTTTCACTATATAAATAATAAATAAATAAATAATATTTTAATATAATATGCTTGTTTTTAAGAATGAGTTTAACTAACCTAACCTAACCTATCGGAAATATACTGCAGCAGTAGGTAAATTACAGTCGGTACCTATGTTACAGAAACCCATATTATGATAAAGCTTACGATAATATAACGAGTAGATAAAATTTATTGCTCTATATATCAGATACTATATTAGGCCGGAGCCCGAAGACTGCGACGAGGGAAACGCGCCATAATGTTAATTGTTAAATATAAGTCTTAAATAACCGTCTTTCCCTGGTTAACGGTATAATAGTCGGAATATACTATAGATAATAGATATTTTAATATATATAATATCAAAATAATAAATACAAAGTTTTCGAACAAAAATTCATTCGAACAAAAATTCATCCGAACATATGCTTTTTCGAACACTTTTCATTCGAACACATTTTATTCGAACATATCATTTTCGAACACATAACCCCTCGTCCCATGATGTACATAGTCAAAAGCCGATATTATCGCCGTTGTCGACAAACTAGGATTTCTTTAAAAACCATTAAAAATTAGTTTTGTTCGTAAAACCGGGGGTCCGATAATTGGGAGTCGGCGAACTGGAAACAAACCATTTTGATACAATGCGTCTACCCAATGTGTTTGTAGTTAAAAATGATACTCATTAAGTAAACGCATTTAAAACTTATAAGACGTCTAAGAAAATAGTACATATTATTTTGTACTGCTATTGCTTAAATTTCTAGAACTGTCAGCACAATGTTATTATTTAGAAAAGGCAAGGATCAAAACTTTAGAATAGGTATTTGTCAAAGACAGTGGATTCTGAATTTTTGTTCAGATGCTGGATATCCCTGTTTCAATCTACTAACGACTAATTCAATTTTAAATTACAGATAGTATGCGTAATCATTTTTTTTACTGTACAGTGTTTTATTTTTTGTTGTAGGACATTATGTTTGTTATGCTTATATATTAATACTATACAACGAATTTCATAAAAATTAATTAAAACATAGGTTAAGTATTCCAATGTACTTTTACAGTGTAATTTAAGTATTTATAGTATTCATAGTAAATATCGTGAATTAACAATTTTAAGTACCTGCTATTATGTTTCAATTGAATGAAATATCAAGATACAATTAGTTTTGACTGAGTAGCAAATTTAAGAATGAATGAAAAAAAAGCTACTTGGGAAATTTTTCAATTTACTACAAAGTTGATAAATAATGTTACACTTAAATAAGTACCCATGTACATTTTACATGTACTTATTGAATTGTAGTAACAAAATCTAAGAAACTTAGAACATTAATACATACATAGTTAATTATAGAGAAAACAAATATACTTTATTATACCTTGCAGTACCAAACCTTGTATATAATTATCACCATGTACCACCTTATATATACGTACTATTATATTACATTTTAACATTGCTATAACAGCATATTTTGTGTATAACGAGTTTGTCTACTTCCATGATTTTTTTAAGTGTAGGTAATTTCAGTGATCGATATAATTACTTTATACTATTTTTGATATTTTAAGTCTATATTATTTTTATTATGCGTTTAGTATCTGAATGGTGAAGACTAAACCGTTAACATGACTCCTGTACTACACCTAGAAGAAGAACTAGAAAGCCTCAGAGCAGTGACAGTAGTCGATGATTCGAACTTGGACGAGAAGCCAAATTTGAAAGGAGATTGGTTGAATTTTTTCCTATTGTTGTTGCTGTACACGATGCAAGGCATACCATTTGGCTTAACATTGGCAATGCCGATAATTTTGCAAAGCAACAAAAATGTATCTTACAAAGATCAAGTAAATATCTGATTTCACATTGAAAATTACTTACTTGTGCGATTAATTATTGTTTAATATGATTAATGTTTAACATTGATTTGTTTTCAAATCTACGAAATGGCTTAATTTACCATTATGTGGTCGTATTTTGTTCCAGGCTATGTTCAGTTTAGTTGCATGGCCGGACAGCTTAAAATTGATATGGGCCCCTTTGGTAGACGCGGTATACGTACAAAAGATAGGAAGACGAAAATCTTGGCTTATACCAGTTCAATATTTAATGGGTACGTGTACTAATGTACTATAGAATGTGTAAATGTCTCAACTTTCTGCATGTTTAATAAACGTGAGAGTATCTGTTTAGATTACGAAAAGATGTGTGTACATATCAGTTGAAATTGTCAACGTATTGTTGGTAGTCGGTAGTTGCCCATGCGTAATTCAGGAATCCAGACATTAAAAAAACCTTGTTTTGTCAAAAACTGAATGTTATATTATATTATATTTTATTAAAATAAGTTTATCATTTTTAATATTTAGGGTTAAGCTGGTAAACTATGTCGTTGTAAAATAGCTTTTAAAGGATTAAGGATTTTTCAAATCGTCTCAATTATATTTTTTGACAAAATAATGTTGATTTTTATCTGTGTTGAAAAATGTTGAAATTGTGATAAAAAATTGGCACTTAAAAATAATGAAATGTTTTTATTTTAAATTTTTTGAAATTCCATATTATCGATCCATAATCATTAAAAACCAAGTGTACAACGACTTAAGATACACGTTGCTCAGTATGCGGTAGTGTAGTTTATTGCCTTTCTTGAAACTATTTGTGTCGAACAGGAGCATGCTTCATTTATATGGCTGGAAATATTGATGAATGGTTGCCAGAGACGCGAAAGCCAGATATACTGAAGTTAGTATTTGTATTTTTCATCATGAAAGTATTAGTCATCACGGAAGATATAGTCGTCGACAGCTGGGCACTGACAATGCTCAAAAAGTCAGTGTTATGGTTAACTAACTTTTACATTATTTAAAATACGTATAACAATCATAATAAATAAAACTGGTGTTTTATTTTGGTATCATTCAGGAATAACGTAGGCTATGCATCTACATGCAATGCAACCGGTCAAGTGATGGGCATGATGATAAGTTATATATTTTCCGTCTTGTTGACTTCAGAAGACTTTAGCAACAATTACTTACGTATTGAACCAGGCGTAGGAGGAGTATTCACTATGAAATGTAAGCAAGTAAGCAAGTAAGCATGTCTTGACAGATCATTAGTGGATAATAAATCTGGGACAAACTTGAATTTCGGTCAACGAAAGGAAAACATTGTAAATTGCGCCTAGTATTTTCCAGGTGCGATTTTTTATGTAGTAAATTGTGCCCAAAAGAAATATTTTTTTTTATGATAGTCATTTAGCATTACACAGAGGACTATCATTGTCATCGACTATCATTGTCCTCCAAAAATCATTTTTTGGTTTACTTGAAATAAATAAATAAGTTAATAAATATGGAAAAATTAATTTTTTTTCAAATTAAATGATATTGAATCGACAAGTTGTTTTAAATTTTAGTTGTTAGATTTGTTTATGCAGTAAATGACAATAGAAATCAGGTAAATTATATAATATTATAGAGTTAATAAAAATGCAATTATAAGCAATGAGTAATGAGACATTATCTTCACATATTCAACACTATTGCACGCAAAAGGCTTATTAAAATATTACATGTATATGTATAAAGTTGATTAATATCGTTAATGTCATAATGATTATAGAGATGAAAGTTTGGATTATCCACTAATAAATGAACAGCGTTTAAAATGAATTCAAGGTCACTTAGATATTATGGGTAACATACTATACTCATTTTGGAAACCAAAAAATCCCAGGTGCAATTTACTATAGTATTTTTAATACCTGCTCAAGTGCGCCAATTTGCAAGCGCCCTAGGATCTGATTATACTCTAATGAAAATAATAACTGGTTGTCAAAATATAAAATAAACGAGTAGTTTCTTTTGATTCTTAATTTTTGCAGGTTTATGCTATGCTTGGGGTATTCTATTTATTTTAATAACTACATTGATTGCAATGTTTAAAAAAGAAAAAGATCACAGACTAGAGGACGATCACATAAAGCTCAACATTGTTCAAAACTATTCACTAATTTGGGGCATTTTAAAACTACCTGGTATTCAGTCATTGGCATTAACATTGCTGACAGCTAAGGTAAATATAATAAATATAAATACATAATCAAAAGTTATTATTTACATAAACTGATGAATTGAAAATACTCACTGAAACCATTGGTTTTGGAAATATTATACTCGCTTTGTATTTATAATTATATGTGTAAAAATAAGTATTTCATGCTTTATATACTGATATCGAACCTATAATTACCTTAGTATTGAACCTTGAAAGTTCCGAATGTTAGGAAGATAGTAACATTTTATGAAATCGATATTTAGTACAATTTTTATTTAATTTGTGCTCTTTTATCCATCAGTAATAATGTGTATTGTGTATATTATTCAAGATCGGATTTGCTGCAACTGATAGTCTAGCGCTTTTAAAACTCATTGATGCGGGAGTACCAAAAGACAACATTATGGTTATACAGACAGCAATGTTTGTTGTAAAAATGATTTTGCCACTAGTTGTAGCAAAATATACTTCTGGGCCAAAACCGATGAACATATACCTAACAGCAACTCCTTTCAGGTAAATAAACCAAAATACCTACTTGTGTGTTCGGAGGACATGTACTATTAGATCTGTACTTTAAAGGAAACAATATAGAAACACCTAAACAAGTATTCATTCTTAGTTAGTAGCTATTTACAATTAGAATTTATACTGTAGATTAATTACATTTTATGGTTTATACCTTCAATATTTTGCATTACGTAATAGTGTAATACGCTGTGATTTATATTAACTTTGTCCAGTAGGCACACAAATTATTGATAAATACTACAAATGAAATATTTTAAACGGTTACGTATCAAAATACATCATAATTTCAATGTACAATTCTATATGCTAATAATATTTACACCCAATATATTATAATAAAATCGTATCACCATTCACCAATATGATACAGTATAAGTTACACTTCTAAGTAGTAAGGTATATTTAATATTGACGAAATTGTCTTGTGAATGTATAATCCATTGACCATTGATACTTATACGCCATATTAATTAAGGTTATAACAAAAGTCAAAACTACATACAAATATATCATTTGATGTTAATCTAACTTACATTAAGCCTTATTAATTAAAAGTAAAAAAAAAAATAATAAAATTATCAATTACCTAGTTATATAATTTTCTTTTGCGTTTAGACGTTTTGGTTCGAAAAAACGAAAGTATTGGTTTTTTAATATAAAATAATGATGTGTTTTTTTCAACGTGTATTTTTAAATAGAAACAAGTATTGAATCGTTTCGTAATCTTTTTTTTTGGCTTAGGTACCTACATGAGGTATATATTCAGTATGTTAATTTACTGGAATGTCAGTATTCTCTAATACGAAATTCAATTTAGATATTGTACTGCAATTTTTTTAATCTAATGCATGACTATTATAATGACTTCTCTTTTATTATGTTAGAAAATAAATAAATTTCAAAAAATGGTTTCTTTTTTCAAATTATATTTGAATAATACAGTGGCTTACAATAATAAGAGATGATAATAATAATATAATGTTTGATGTACATAAACAAACTGGTAGTAGGTATATATATTTTTTTAATGGAGAAGACATTCAAACTTATGAGGGTTAATTTCAAATTTAACACACAAATTTAGTTGAGGAAGCACGCATTTTTTACACTCGTTTCCACAAACGACTCCATATTCACACCCTAACCCTCTCATAAACGATCTTTCTATCCATACATTACCTGGAAATCCTAACCGCAGACTGAAAAGGAAGTGGTGCCGTGACCTATTACAAAACTTTAATGTCTAACGTCTCCCAAAAAAAAAAAAAATATAAATTATGTAATTATAGTAAAAATTAATTAAATTAATTAATCAATTAGTCAAGAGTCACTAATGGGTGGTTGCTTAAATCACGCCTGTCACGTAACATGTACTTATATCATATAAGCTTATTGTGCAAATTGTACAGATTGTTTATTTCAAATAAAAAAGAAAAAAAAAACACACAAATTTACAAATACATACTCAGGTAACAATTTTGCACAATAATAGATCTTGATATTGAATTAGTTATATTTTATATTGTGATTAAGACTGGTTTTAAATATTTAACCGTCAATGTACTAGTGGTACTGTTAAATACGTCTATCCACACAGTAAATAAATAAAACATAATAAAATATATTATATAATTATTTTCGCATATAAGTCATTTTAAATATAATTTCAGATTACTTTTGAATATTTCATTTGCGGTATTTATTTATTACACTCCGACTTTGATAACAATGAATGGGTTCGTCCATATTCCAATATATTACTATGCTCTATTAGTATGTATATTATCAGTACATGATGTGAGTAATTATTGTTTATTAATTAATAGGTGATTCAAATTCACACAACATTAATTAAAATACTGATATGATAGACTTCAATATCAGTTAAGAAAAACATTTCAAGTATACCAATAACTTTGTGATTTAATTTCTATAGATGATAGATAACATTATGAGAGTAGCTACAATAGCTTTTTTCTCTCGAATAAGTGACTCACGTTTTGGTGGTACTTACATGTCATTATTGGGTACACTTTCAAGCTTGGGAGCAGCATGGTCATCTTCAGTCGCTATTGGAATTGTGGATTTCTTATCGTTTAAAGAATGTTCTTTAGACCAAAAAAATGATTGCTCTACATTAAATCTGAAAGACGTAAGAAATTGAAGTATAATTTGTTGATTAATACATGCGTTGACAATAATAATATTTAGGATATTATATGATCACTTATGACCATGGTCTTAAAAATATTTATTTTAATTTGTCACAGGCTAGTTTATTATTATATATTTATACATAAACTTGAAATATTAAGCTGAATCCTTTATACTAAGTGGGCATGTGATTGTTTTGTGATAGGTAAGAACTAACAACCCCAATTTTAAGAAAAACATTCAGAATTGTAGAGAACTTTATTTTGCAATGCATCATAAATTGTAATATTAAATATTATAAATAGACGAAGCAAATAAAAAAGACAAATTATTTACTTGCGTTAAATTATTGCAATTAACAAATTATATTTTTCACTCTTCGGTATTTATTTCAAATTTTTTTTGAAATTTAAACTATTTTTTTCTTTTTATTGATATCAAGCATCGGCGACTATGACCGTTTTACCATTTTTTGGGGGGTTACGGTTGGTTGAGGAACATGTGTATGTGGGGCGAGGATTGGTCACTAAAAAGTTTTTAGTTAGGTGACCAATCCGGGAACTAGCGATGACGGCCGATGGTTTATCTCAGAACACGTTAGTGACTGAGGCCAACCACCGAGCCACACTAGGGCCCACATTAAATAATTTAATGGTGTTGAAATAAATATTTACAATAGTTTTTTATTCGATTTGTTTTTGCAGTCTTTTGTTTTCTGTTTTTAGATGTGTGAAACAAATGAAAAGGATTGTGTTGTTATAGTGAATGGTTTTTATGTAGAAACAGCTGCGTGTACCATAATCGGAATCATTTGGTTTTATATTTTTCGAAATATTCTTAGAAATGTTCAAACTAAAGGCCGTTCTTATTGGTTGGTCAATATAAAGAGACCAAGAACATGAAAGAAACCTGAACGAACACAGAACCGTGTTTCTACACATAGCTTCCAAAGATAAATAAAATCATAATAATATTCGATCTTAAAAAAAGAATCGGATTTTATACTACCTATTTTACCTTCTACATGTCTATGCGAAATTCTAAACAAGATCTATATTAAAATCAGGTTAGGTGAGGAATAAACATAATACTATATAACCTATATGCTATGCTTCGTAGGCGGATGCAATTCGCAAATTGGAACAGCCGTTGTCGGTCTTATCATTTATTAGTTATTCATTACCAAGTATTTATTCTGTTGTTTTTTATTTATATGACATTGTTTTTGTTTTTTTTTTGTACAAGTTATATGATTCTAACTATTTAAAATTTTTTTTACTTTTATTTTGTATTTGAATTTGAGTTTTAAGTTAAATTTTTTAAATCAAATGTAAGATATTTCAATATTTGTGTGTATTTTTTCCCAGGATTTGAAATGATTAAAATAACTGTCAGGGGGAGCCAGTGGCATTTCACAATCCGATGCCTTGTGAACTAATTATGGAATTTGGTGAGCTGTCTTACATTTCAAACTCTAAAAGTTTAGAAAAACAGAAAAAATCAATAAAAATTACTAAAAATGTTATCTAATTATCTGCAGATAATCAGATAGGTATCAATTTTATTTATCTAGATAGGATATAAAAATACATGAATTTTTGTATCTAGATGAAATAAAAAGATAAATATTTTTATCTAGATAACGCACAATACTGATTATAACAGAACAATAATTCTTGTTACTTTTTTTTATAGGTTATTATAATAAAGGTAACCATTTTTTCATTTTATATATTAAAATTAATTAACTGTAAAATATAATTCAATACCTACGTCAATTCTTGGAAAATTTAATAGATAAAACAACTTTATAATTCATTTAACGCCAACATTTTTGATGTAACATTATAAAGCTCAGATGAATCAAATAAAAAAACTCGTTCAATGCTATAACAAAATAAGAATGAAAAAAACGAGTCAAGACAAAAAATAAAATAATAATCGATACACTTTTAAATTCAATTTTGCCAAATCTATTTCCTGACACGTTTCATTAATTATTAAAATAATATTATTACTATATGAAAGAGCATATTATAAAATATCATAATTCAATACATTGTACCTACAGGGTTGGACACCGAAACACCGTTTATTTTTGTTTTTGGGGAGTTGAACATAGAAAACCCCAACACATTATGGATCACACTGCCTAGTGGTTGACACTGAATATAAAGTGTTATGTGTACTTTTTCATAAATGTAATGTTTCGATTGTCGAAAAAAGTATTTTCGAATGAAGACTCGTCTTTGTACTTGGCTTATAAAAATATTATATTATACATGTCAACGGGCCACACAATACAACCAATCACAACTAAAGAAAATAATAAGAATATTCCTCATCATTTAAGGAATAAAATCAACATAAGGTATAATATTATAATCTGGTCGTATGACACGCACGCTAACTACTACGGTGGCGTCGGCAGCAGCGTCGTCTACGACGTCAAGTTATGTAAATAATATTATAATATTATGTTGACATAGGTACCTCGTATCGTTTATTAATTATATTCTATACGATTTATACATTACACATGCTGAAAATAGTTGAGAAATATGGATATAGGTATATATGTAGGTACACGATGTAGGTAGATTTATAATATTATATAGCTTCGATCTCACGCATTTGCAAGTCGTTTCGATAATAGCATAATATTATAATCTCATAACATCTATAAAAAAAAACAGGTGACAAAAATAATACCGTTATTATCGATGGTAAGAATAACAAAATCATTAGTTATTATTAAAGGGCCGATTATTAGGTCTCAAAAGTTAAAAATATGGTTCTAACATGCTTTTTTTAATTCAAATAATTTAAAAATCTGTATACCAGCTACAATTGAAACATACATATATGGAAAATTCAAAATATACAAAATGAGTTAACATTGAACTTTATATATGTATGATATTTACATTTACCATCCATTCATTGCACACCATGTTAAATAATATGCTTAAACATGAAAATAATTATTATTCAGTCTCACTTAAAACGATTAAATAAAATAAAACGTTTTAACTCAATTACAAACAAATTATAGAACAATTTATATCATTTTTCATCTTTAAGTTCAAAACATTTTTGTTTGTGTAACGAAATATTCAACTCGAGAATGAACAAATATGAGTTTTTACGAAAAAAATTATAATATAATATATTCCTAAATATATAAAATATTGGCTGAGCATTCTTTAATATTTAAAATATTCTGTAGTATGCAAAATATATTTTTTCCAGGAATTCTATACTGAATAAGTTGTTGTCCAGATTATTTAATTCTGTTCAGCTGCATAAAGCGAAAAAATATAAGTAAAAACCTGAAATCTGCTGTCTGGTAAAAAAATAATATTTCATTATTATATTTAGGACAATTCAATAACTGTATAAATAAAAAATATAATTTTATCGTTTTAAGTGAGACAATTAAATAGTATAAAAGTTGAAAATATCAATCAAATAGTGTAGATGTTTTACAAAAATAGCTCTGTAAATCTAGTGTATATTAATTAATTAATTTGAAATTCTATATTTAGCTTCAGAATATAGCAGAGAAAAATTACTGATACAAAAAAGATTAATTTTTTAGTTTTAAAAATAGTACTTTTGGCCTTCTAAAATTTTCTATAATACCACTGTGGCCCGGCCCATAAATAACGTCACTCGACCGTTCTACATTTCCTAAAGTCTCCTTAAATAATTTAATTTTTTTTCATTTAACTTTGAAAAAATCCTTTTAAATAATTCTGATTAAAATAATATTAAATAATAACTTAAAGAAAATATATTATTTTGTGTTGTGTGCATTGTGCGCTCAACTGCAACTTGATCACTCCCAAGTATGAACTATAACGGATTTAGATTAGTTATCAGAAGTATTTTTACATTATTAAGTCAAACAGTAAAATTGACATAAAGTACATACTTTAAGCCGAATAAAGCACTCTGCTTTGTGGCAGCCTCCGTGGTGACTTGTACGTACGAGTGCTTATGACAAGGTGTAATGCGGAGATCCAAATCTAATATTTATACACTTATTAAACTATACACCTTACCCCACCTTTTATAGAATTATCAAATATGTCTGATTAACACATAATGTTGCCATTATTGTGTATTATTGATGAACATTTTGTGTATTTTTTGTGTAGTTTGTGTGTTTCCTCTAAATGTTTTATTTCAGTATTGATACGAACACTGAGGTGTTCGCTATAAATACTTTTTACTATTTTTGTTATTTTTAGTTTATGTTCGTTATGTCTAGAGTGTGATTAGTGAAGACTTAGCAGTGAACTAGTAAAAATGCCGGTGCAGCAGCTGGAAGATAAACTAGAAAACTTCAAAGTGGTGGCAGTAAATGATGATTTGAATTCGGCCAAAAAGCCAAATTTGAAAGGAGATTGGTTGAATATTTTCCTATTATTGATGCTGTATACGATGCAAGGCTTAGCGTTTGGTTTAGGATCGGTAATGCCAATTATTTTGCAAAGCAACAAATATGTGTCTTACAATGATCAAGTAAATATCTAATTTCAAATTTCAAATTGCGTACCCGTGAGATTAATAATGTATAGTAAAACTGATTAATATTACTGTTTACTTGTATTCAAATCTACTAAATTGTGTACTTATGGCTGTCACCAATAAACGTGATCTATTTTGTTCTAGGCTATATTCAGTTTAGTTGAATGGCCGAATAGCTTAAAACTTATATGGGCCCCTTTGGTAGACGCACTGTACGTACAAAAGATGGGCAGACGAAAATCTTGGCTGATACCAGTCCAATATTTAATGGGTAAGTGTACATTAATATAAATGTTCCCATCACGCAGGTAAATTCATACGATATACTATCTACTTATCAGATATCTCTTTAGATTAAGTTTGTGATTTGTGTATATCAACTGCAATATGTATTTCTAGTACCCAAACCTTTTAAAAACACTAACCGAATGTTATAGCAATGATATAATTTTTAAATAAGTTAACTTACTTTTTTTAATACAATTATACAGACAATATAGCAGTGGAGTGTAGTGTCTGTTAATTAAAACCGTTTGTGTCGAACAGGAGCATCCTTTATTTATTTGGCCTGCAATATCGACGAATGGTTGCCGGATACGCGTAAACCGGATATATTGAAATTGGTATCAGTACTTTTCTTCACGAACTTCTTGGCCTCTACGCTAGACATAGTCGTCGACGGTTGGTCACTAACAATGCTCAAGCGGTTGGTGTCAATGTTAACTATTTTATTATTAGTATAACATGATAAATAAGAAGTAATTATGTTACGTAATTTTTATAACACACAGGAATAACGTAAGCTATTCATCTACATGCAATGTAACCGGTATGGTGATGGGTGTGATGATAAGTTATATGTTTTCAGTCTTATTTACATCAGAAGACTTCAGCAACATGTATTTACGGTTCAGGCCAGATGTGGGAGGACTATTCACTATGAAGGGTAAGCGTATAAAATCCATTTTGGTAGATCTTTATTGAATAATAAATCTAATTATAATCGGATAACAAAAATAACTGACTGTTAAAACATTAAATATTTACTAGTTTTTAATTTGAATAGGTTTATTGTATGCTTGGGGTATTCTTTTTATAATAATAACTACATTGGTTGCAATTTTTAAAAAAGAAAAAGATAACAGATTAGAGGAAGACCACGTAAAGCTCAACATTATTCAAAACTATTCACTTCTATGGGACATTTTAAAACTACCTAGTATTCAATTATTGGCATTAACATTGCTGACAGCAAGGGTAAATATGTTTTGATATCTAATCAAAAAATTATTATTTAAATAAACTAATTCATTTAAAATGTTCACTGAAACCATATTGGTATTTGAAATATTCTATTTCCGTCGTTTCCATAATGATATTATGTGTAAAATATTTATTTCAAGCATTACATACCTATATCGATCCTATAAGTTCATGTACAAATTCATTGATGACAGCTCAGGTAAATATAATATATAGATACCCAAAAAAAACGTTGTTATTTACATAAACTTATCAATTCGACTTTTTCACTCAATCACGCTGATTTTTGAAATAATCTACTCACGTTGTTTCTATAGTAAATTAAATAATTCTCCTGATATTATTATGCGTAAATATGTTTATTTAAAATCTTACATCATCGTTATATATTGAACCTTTTAATTTCAGGTGGAATGATAGTTTAGTACATTTTATTAAATCGATGTGTATTGTGTAGGTAGTACAATTTTGATTTAATTTATACAATAAGTATTGTGTGTATTGTTTAAGATTGGATTTGCTGCAACTGACAGTCTATCGATTTTAAAACTCATTGATGCGGGAATACCAAAAGACAACATTATGGTTGTACACACATCAATTTTAGTCGTAAAAATTATTATGCCACTTTTTTTAGCGAAATACACTTCTAGCCCAAAACCTTTGAACGTGTACCTAACAGCAAATCCTATCAGGTAGATAAACCTAAATATTATATAATTTAATATATACAATTTAATTATACATATTTAATTTACTTATTAATATCAAATAAATAAAATTATGTTGGAATCTCATCAAACTGTACAACAGTATCTATTATAACTACTTATATTTACATAACATATATTATACTTAAATACTTTATATTGACAATGGCGTCAATTGGGGGAGGGGGAGAGGCAATAAAAAATTATAATCACTTTTAATCCATATATTTATTTCAAGTATTTAAATTTCAACATCATACTCATACTCGATTCTCATACCTAATCAGTGAACCAATCATTTTATGTTCGTACAGAATAATAGGATTTAAAATCTAGTTTTCCATATTTAATTTTGTTCCTCTCTTGAAAATTACCCTATCGGAAACCCAAATTTATAGATAATAAGTACAAAGTTACCGCGTTTTGCATCTTAAACGATGAACCATATAAAGTGATCATATATCACTAAACCTTCATTGAAAGTTAATTAGTATTTAGTATTGATGAAGTTAGTTGTCGTGTCAACATATTCCAGTGAGTTGAGTACAGCACACGTATTTTTCATACGTTTTAGACCAATGAGCGGGAGGTTAAATGAAAAATATTTAGAAAGTTCTGACTTAAATTTTTGTATTGTGTATGAACTCTTTGTAAAATATATATTTAGGAAGTCGATTTTCAATTTTAGGATTTTCAAGAATTTTAAAGTGAAGATATTATTTTTGAAGTTCCGAGACACACTAATGATCGTTTCCTACGCACGTTTGTAAGACTCGATCGTAAATACCTATAATGTTGCCTACATCGAACCCCTTAAAAATTATCCGTTTGCAATCCCCTTGAATAATATTTTATGCCTAATATATTTTCATCATTTAAAATTATTTGAATCCCATTTCGGTACTTTTATGCATGCTGTAAGAAAATAAAATATAATAAGACATGCACGTACACAAAACAAAAATTCAGCAAGAAGTTTGGACTAATTAACCCCCCTCCCCTCCTCTCAACTGTTTAGGTGCCTGTAATAAAATATATTTATACTAAAATTATCTTCGCAATTAAGCGGTTTTAAATATAATTTCAGATTACTTTGGAATATTTCATTTTTGGCATTAATTTATTATACACCAGAATTGATAACAATAAATGGGTTTGTTAATATTCCAGTATATTACAATGCACTTTTCGCATTTATATTATCAATACATAAGGTGAGTTATAATTATTGACTAATTTATAGATGTTTAAAATTAACATAATTTCAATTCAAATACTGCAGTGATAAGTCTGAATATCATATAAGAAAAATATTTTATGCGTATCAGTAACCACGTGATTTAATTTGTATAGATTCTACCCTACATTATGACTTCATCTATAATAGCTTTTTTCTGTCAAATAAGTGATTCACGTTTTGGTGGTACCTACATGACATTAATGAATACATTTTTCAATTTGGGAGGAGCGTGGTCGTCTTCGGTCGCCATTGGAATGGTAGATTTCTTAACGTTTAAAGCATGTTCTTCAGATCACCAGAATAATTGCTCTACAGCAAATTTAAAAAACGTAAGTAATTCAAATATAATTGATTGAATAATACAAACAATGACAACGATTTTATGATCACATTCTTATAAATATTTTATTCAATGAACTACATAGAATTTAAATATAAAGTCGATTCCTGTATATTATGTGGGCACGTGATTGTGTGAAATAAGTAACAACCACAAGTATAAAAAAAATATTCAAAATTGTAGAGGATTTTATGTGGCAACACAATATAATAGAAATTATAACTTGGTAAAGTAGGTGAAAGACTAAAAGAGTATTATTTAGTTGTGCTAGTTTTTTGAAATGTTCAAATTATAGTTTTTATTTTTAAGTCTTCTTTTCAATTTATTTTATAAGATCTAAATGATTTAATGGTATTGAAATAAGTATTAAAAATAATTTTTTATTCAATTTTGTATTTACGTTTTTTTGAACTTTTGTTTTTTGTTTATAGATGTGTAAAACCAATGGAGGAGATTGTGTTGTTATAGTGAACGGTTATTACGTAGAAACGGCCGTGTGTTCCATAATCGGAATCGTTTGGTTTTGCATTTTCAGAATTATCCTTAAAAATTTTCAAATTATGGGCCCTTCTCATTGGTTGGTTAATATAAGGAGACCTTCCAGTGAGTAAAATTAAATAATAATTGTTAAATGAATATTGCTCAATACCCATTTAGCCGTAGTGATTAACATTTAAAGTCCTAAATATATCTATTGTGAATAATTTATTATTTTAGTATTATTATATATTATTAGGTTCTCTATTGAAATTTTAAATTATAATGTTATAGTAATCTGTATATACCATATATACATACATTATATGTTTATAAAATAAAAAGTAGCAAATATTAACTAATATATTATATATTATTTGTCATAGTTGCTGCTATGATAATTACCAGGGGGTGCATAGTATTTGAATACTTTATTAGCCTAGGTAGTCAAAATATTTTAAATGATTTGGGTGTGGTGACGCCTGATCGCTAGGTAAATACAATTATTTGCCTAGAGTTGAATAAATAACTTGTATAATGCTGATTTCTTTCTACAAAATAAAGGTATAATATTATTATCTTAATATATTACGATTTACATTGCACAAGTACTAAATTAGTAAATTTTAATTTCGAACTGATACGATTTGGGCTTTCCTATGTGTTTCCAAGAACTGGGCCAGTGTAGCCGTACAGGTGATGTTCGACTGTATGAATTGTGTGCGATGATTTTTGAATGTAAATGGAAGAAGAGTTTAAGAAAATACAAAAACCCAATTTATCGAATATTTGATTAAAAAATCTGTGTACAAATGTGGGAGGCTTCAACTATTATTTAATTCATTTTTATAACAATTAATAATACCATTTTTTTCAGTATTTCTTATTTTTTAAATATCTTTTTAAATCTAGATTTTATGGATGTGAAAAGCGCCTTCTTGCACCCCATTATAGACCTCGTGTCATTGGCTATTATACTTTAGTAGTCTGTCCAGGCTAGCATTATTATTTAAATTATAACTAGAGCGCAGAGTCTTATGCAATTGCATATTTTTTAATTTTCATATTTTTGGGATTTTTGTCAGTCTTCTTTATGAATTATAATAGTTTGAAGCAAATGATGATTTTTTTTACATATTTAATGGTTAGGTTAGGTTATTTGCATATTTCTTCAAATTTTGACAAGACTTAAAATGTATTTTGCATATTGAAGTGAAAATTAAAAAAAAATGTAAAAAATTATATTTTGTCATGCATAAAATGTAGTAATACATTTTGTAGGCACTAAGTGACTATTCATTTTAATTTTATATTAAATTATACATTTCCACCATATTACACAATTTAAAGTTTTTTTCTTGCATATTTTCACGATTTTAACTGCATTTTTTGACACTTTTTATGATTCATAACATAACATAATAGTAATAATATATTAGTATGTACTCTTACTTGACATCACGTCGAAAGTATAATAGTTAAAAAAAACTATAACGCATAATAAGATTGGAAAAATGTGTCAATGTTGAATAAAATTGAAATACCTATAATTAAAATATTGCATAAAAAATGATACTGGTACCTAACCTTTAATGTTTGTTTGATGTTTTTTTTTAATTCCAATTTAAAAATATGTGACTGTCAACGATGTATTATTCATAATATTATGCATAATGCCTTAAAATCATGAAAAATAAAACATATTAATATTATAGTTTAATAATAATATGTTACCTACAGGTAAACTCATATTATGATTGTCAATCGTTGTTAATGTTATACAAACAACGATAGTATTAATATATTATAGCCTATAGGTATTCAGGTAAGAATGTATCATATAGACACATTTTAAAATAGTTGATTAATCCAACACCAATATCTTCAACGTAATATTATAAGCTCGTGTAGGTAAAATGAAGACATGTCTGGCAATTTAAAAAATATATAAATGAAACTCGACGACATAAAATTATGCAAATAATATTTTAATATTATGTAGATACTAGATATACCACCTCGCATCGTTTATTAATTTTATTTCACACGATTTAAACTATATACAGTATACACCCAAACTCAAAATAGTTGAAAAATACGGATATACGAGTAATATACCCATACAATTTAGGTATTGCATCGATCTCACGCTGTCGGTTATAATATTATGCTGTCAATACAACAGGAGAAACAGGAATATTGAAAGTGTTTGTTTTGTCAACACAAACACTCACTTTTTCGGTGTTTCCAATTCAAGGAAAATTCGGATAACAAGGTTTTCACCTTTGTTAGCAACAATTGTTTGTGTTTTAGTTGTTAGAAGCCTAAAAAGTCAGTGAACACGTTTTTTTGAAATTCTGACATTCAAATACAAAACTTGTCAGAATAAATATCATATTACTTGGGCCAGTCTATTAAAGTTTGCAGGAACTAAATATGAGAGACAAGACTGTAGTGTTAAAACGATCATGAATGTATTTCATAACACAGGAAAATTACAAACTGTTTGTATTTTATCAGACGAAGGATTTCAAGTTTCAGTAATAATTTCTAAATTTACTAACCAACCCAGTGGTCCTGCGACTACAGGTGTCGTTGAAAGGAAAAGGATGAGGTGTACTTATCGAAATGAATGCGAAGGCCGTTTAATGTTTGTACTATTTGATGATTCATTTCAATTTAACACTTTAATGATAACTGGTGAAATATTACTCTGTAAATATCTGACTCAAAGAATTATTCTAAGTGTTTAGAAAATAATTAGTTTGACTCGAATATTTTCCAAGTCCAAGTAATTCACTGCTCAAAATTATTCCAAGTCCAAAATAATAAAATCAAAAGACATACTGGCGTGAAGGTCATCTGGCCAAATCACATCTGAACATGGGGTATTCGGGGCTCTATTATATAGGCCTACTATTATAACCTAACCTAACCTACCTACCCTCTATTTCTCCTAGCCGCTATACGAGTATCTTTTCCACGGATACTGCGTCCGTCTGTAATCTTCTCATAAATACCTACTGCTTACGCCTCGGTACCATTGCGCATCCTGCGTAATTGCATTTTCGATTATTTACCACGTATAGTGTTATAAAATATTATCATAACTGCATTTATTACATTTTATTTTATTCTGTACTTTATTTTGTATAACCAGTATCCCAATGGCTTGTTGTTTTTGATACGCCCCCATAACTGTAGCATTATCACATAATATTAAAGACTGTTTTTTTTAATCTTTTTCTCGTAGTTTAAGCACTATAATCATCACCTTACTTTATTTCTTAGACCTGCTCACCTTGGATACTTATTTATGATTGTACCTGGCCTACCCTCTCGGTTATGTGGTTGCGTAAGAATGTATTGTCGGCTATATTATAACTGGTTAACGCTGGACGTCACTCCATAGATATACCTTGGATGGACGATAAGTGGTACACTGGTGCTTCAAACAAGTCAACGTGGTTAAGAAGTCTTACTTTCCATTACAGAGTCACCGTCTATTGAAAGACTTCTACAACAGTTTTGGCGGGTAGAATAACCACCCTTTCCAGATACGTTGACGACAAAGGTCGAATTAATTGAAAAATAGTCAACCGAGATTTAACAGGAAAATGTTGTGTGGCTTCTCCGTCCCGTTCACGAATCATTGAAAACTTTCACGATCCTATTTCTATTGAACTTAGTCCATAACGAACAATTGCTATAAATCATATCTACAACTTAGGATGTATAGTTAAACAAATTACCCTAAATTTTATTCTGCTCATCAAAAGTTTAGGTGCGATTATTTGTATCTTGGTCGTATGCGGTCTACTGTCAGTTCAGAAAAGTGTTCTTGTAGGTACTAGGTATCCAGTTGTTAAACGGAATAGTGGTAATATCGAAATATAAGTAGTTTTTGATGTATCTGCAAGATCGTCAACAGAATATTCGATAAATGATTGTCTGGTGGTAATTGGTGCCAAAGTTCCATTATTGAAAAATGTATAGGCAAATTTAAATCTGTGAGGATGATTGTGCATATCAACACATATTTTGAAGAAACTCACCAAATAAAGAAGTCCCGGAGTTTCAGGTGTGTACTGTACTACTGTTACCTATAGCATGAGCTCAGCCCTGTAGACTTTCTGGAAAATGTGGAGTCAGAAATATCTACAGACACTTCAGATCTTCAGATTCAATAAAAATGGTATTTTCAGAGTTATTCTAGGTCAGAGATCTTATAGTGATTTAATTTTACGTACTATCTAACCATGTTATGGCAACTAGGACAAATCACCCGAGTACCAATGATGTAATCCATGTGGTGACAGTCTAAACGACTGACAGTACCCTGAAAAGACCAGCGATGAAACTAGTGTAACTGTGAAACTACCCATTTCTTAATGATAACTCCAGTGATATATTACCAATCTTACTGTCGTTATCAGTATAATTTTTTTTGTTTATCATTTTTTATTGTATTACTTAAAAAATAAAACTGTAAAGGCTGACCGAGAACATAACCATCCACTTCAATCTTTTGAAAGCGTGGTTTTCAAAGGGGGGAGTAATGTTGGATACGGATCTGTTTTCTGAAATGCAAACACATTTTAGTCACGCGTTTTTGCGTTGTCCGTTGTTTGTTATATGATGTGTTTACAGTAATGACAAGACGTCATCGTCGTGTACCCGATGAAATGATGATAAAAGCTGTGCTTGTCATTTTCATCACACAAGTACGCGTCCGCTTGTATTATGCGTTGACAACGAGTGAAAACGAGTGATGTAAAATTTCAGAAATTTAAAATTCAATATTTTGAAAACTTCTGACATTTAAAAATTTAATTTAATTTAATTTTTTAATAGACATTACTTTTTTACGTAGTGGGTTTCAAAATTAGAAATATTCATTGAATTTTTAAGTTTATATTTTCAAAATATTAAAAATAAACTGTACACATTAAAATTTAAATATTTTGTTTTTAAACGTTATTAATAAGAACAGAAATAAGGATAATACGAAATATTTGCGCGGAAGTATAGCATTCGCAGTATTGCTATTTTATCACTACACAATTCATGTAAATAAAAACAAATAATACAACTTTCTCTTGGAAATTTCCTAACTTACACCACTACTCATCGAGTGCTGAGTGTAATTTCCGTCCTGAGTTGTCGTTGAGGTCAAATCCGTCATCTCAAGTGCATCTCATGCATAAGCGTAACTAGGATTTCTTAGTTACAGCGGCTACGGTCCTAGAAAACTAATGTTCAAAATAACTTTGTGGGGCCTATGCCTCTACCATAGTAAGTGTAACTGTCCTCTAAAATCAAAATGAAAAATAAATAATAAAATGAAAGTATAAAATTATAATCAAAAACAAAATGTAAATAATAAAATAAGTACAGTATATATTATAGGGGGCTAAATACACATATAGAGGGGCTAAGCCCCCCTAGACCCCTCTAGTTACGCCGATGATCTCATTTCAACGAAGGAAGGTATTCTACTACATTCATGGGCATCCAGATCAGTCAGTATCATATTTATTTATTTTTAGTACATTCATATTGTAGATATCATGTATTCGAATTCGTTGTTTACTAACCTTAACATTAAGCACTATTCACTATTCTCATGTTTTAGACATAATAGAGATGGAAATATATCTATTAATTTAATACAGTCCATTGTCATCGTTTTATAGTTTTTATAATAATTTCCCCTTTGTTATACACTATTTAAAATATAAAGCACTGCATATCCGGCGCGTTTAATCTACGAGTCTATACCAGGCAAACAACGAGCTTTGTAACATAAGGAGGGATATTCGCGCATTCAGTCATATAATAGTTGTATAAATCCATCGGTTAGTTTAACATTTTTTATTTCGTTCCGCAATCTCGACTGTTAAAACTGCACAATATATTTGGAGGTATGCTACTCGTACCTACTGCTCACAATTTTGGCCCCTGTCGAAGAAGTCCTTTAGTATATTTTAATATTTCTTGTAAGTATAATATGTAGCGAAATGTCTGCATTATTAAAACTGTTTGTGTCGAACAGGAGGATTCTTCATTTGTTCAGCCAAAAACATTGACGAATGGTTGTCAGAAGGAGGTCTAACCTATCTGGGTGAGCTAGATACACTAAAATTCGAATATTTGTTTTTATTTATGCAATCCTTGGTTACCACTCAGATATATACTCGTACGTCGACGTGTCAGTGCTAAAGAACTCAGTGTTGTTACCTATTTTGTTATTTCGAATATGAAAAAAATAGAATATATTGGATTTTGATTTCCCATAGGAATATCGTGGGTTATGAGGTCAACTTGAGATACAATAGGCGTATCGTTGGGTATAATGAATAATGATTGGCTCCCTTTATCTCGTTGTGTTCACATCACAGAATTTTCGTAACAAGTTTGCAGTAGAAACAGGAGTTATACAAACTATAGCAAGTAAGTAAATAGTAAGTCATAGGTATATTTTTTATTCTTATGCTACTGATAAAAATCATTTTTTAAAAACATAATATTTTCTACTTTTTACTGATAAGTAAAATTTATTAAAATTTAAAATAGGTTCTGTATTCTAACTATTAAGATGGACAGGTCACCAAGTTCAGATAATATGAATACTCTTTTCACTCTTAGTAATAGACCTGCAGTATAATATAATTATATTATTTATTCAAGTTATTATTTTTAATTTTAAGATTTTTTTATGTTATAACACTAATAAGTTACTTCCAGAAACTTTTTTTTTATTGTAAGAAAAAAAGACCCTCGGCTACATGGGCCACAACTTCTAGAAACTATTATGAATATTAAAATCACATTCATTACAAATCGGAAGCAAATGTTTAATTTGTGATTTTTTGAGATTTTTAAAAATGTATTCAATCCGGAATTAAATTCTGAATACAAGGATTTACTTATTGTGATTAGTTGAAGCGAAAACGTTTGTTTTTAATGTACTTATAAAAAAAGTATTATTCAAATATTAATTTAAAAAAAAATAATACTATAAAATGTAGTAATACATAATATTCTATGAAGGAATATACGTCTCCTAATACATATTACACAGTAGGAAGAATGCAGATATATAATATAGTAGGTATATAAATGTAACTTAAGCTACATTTATTTTAAGTAGGTACACAATTAGTATTTACTATAGTACTAACACTTAGTAAACAACCTATATCCTATAAAACCTTGAACATGAAGGTTGACCTATCCTATGAATGGGTAATGTCTTATGCTAACCTATGCTGTAAACACCTACAAGGATTATTTATATTGTTTATAACTTATAAGTTACAACATTATAAGAAACATGGTACATCATAAATACCTAACATTTTCTTTAGATTAGATATTTTACTATTTTTATAATTTGAGAATTCACTCGGCACTCTGCTAATACCTTGCAAAGTTTAAACTTCAAATATAAGAACAGGTTCATTTCAAAGACAGTATAGATTCTGGCTTCTGGGTTTTTTTCCCTGTGCTGGAATCCTCTGCTTATACTTAGGTACTATAACAACTAATTACATTTTAAATTACAGACTATATGGATACTGGATAGTATTTTTTTATTATAAAGAAATACATTTTTTGTTTTGCTTATATTATATTATAATACAGCACATTTTACAACAATTAATGAAAACATATATTTTTCAATGTACGAGTATTACAATGTGTTTTTAGTATTTATTTTCATAGTAAATTACGTCAGTTAACAATAATACCTAATATTGAGTTTCAAATGAAGAAAATATATTGTTAAAATTAATTTTGAATAAGTAGAGAATTTAGAAATTCAAGCATGAATGAGAAAAAACAGTTTCTAAGGAAATTTTGTGCCACGTGTTTTAAAATTTTTTTTTAGCTTTTTGAATTTTAATGATAACTCTACTACAAAGTTTAAAATTGAAAATAAATATTATATTTTAATTTAAATAAGTTGGTACCTAAACCTAACCTATATCAATTCATATATACTAATAAAATTTGAATTTTTGTAATTTATATTTTTTAGATTTTGCGCTCGTCATTATGAGATTGAGTAAATCTAATTTATTCAATCGGATAAGTGATCCTAGTTTTAGTGGTACTTAAATGACATTATTAAATATAATTTTAAATTTGGGATTATCGTCGTCGATTTCACTTGCAATTTCAATGATAGATATTTTAACGTTCAAAGAATTTTAATTAGATAAGTAGGTACAGTATTGTTCTAAAGCCAATCTAAAAATTTTAAGACACTCACCACATAATGAAAACAAGACTAAAAATAACAATAACGCACCTATTTATTAGTTATTTTATAATAGTATTTTTTTTAAAGTGCATAGAAAATTTACAATAAATTCAAGGGTACATTTGTTTTTTTCTGATACAATTGTTGATTGTGGACGAAAACAAAATAGTAAAAAAATAACTTGGTTCTTTTTTACCCAACATTTTAGATTTGCGTAGACAAGTCTTTTTTTATTTTTATTTTACTGTTATAAAACCAAAGCCTTGAATCATGGGTTCTATTTGGTCGTTATTCAATAACAATCACTAAGTATTCATTCTATTAGATTTTATTTAATGATTTCGTGCTATTGACATAATTTATTGATAATGTATTTATAATAAATTGATTAATCAAATTTTAGTTCAATTTTCAATTGTTTCTTTAGGCAATGGTCGTTTGGGCGGGTGTAATCATTTTGATCGTAAAACTAATAATTTGCTTAGGTTACTAATATTTTTACAATTTGGGCAAGTGTAATAATTTTTACCTGAGCTACATAGATTTTGATATTCATATGATTTTATTTTATTTATTCATCACTTTAATTTACGAATACTTATTTATGTGATATTACTCTATCAATATATTTTAAAAGTTAGAATTCATTATTAATTTTTAACCAAGAGAATTTTTGTATATGATTTTATTTTGTTATTTTATTTATTATATCTATTGATACAAAACGACAAAACGTACTAGCATATCCTGTCACTTCCATTAGATTCTCATAGCAGGCTTATAATGAAATGGAGTAGAGATTTTCTAACCACAATCCAAAGCTATGGGTCACTAATGGCCAATGGGTGGCTCCTTAATCCAAAAACCCCAATTACGTTCTTACTCCATACCTCACTTATACCAACTTATTGTGTTTATTGCTTATTGTATTGATTGTTTATTTCACAACAAATATATTACAAATGACTATGATCATTATATTATTATCATGATAATGTACATTACCACGCATACAATATATATGTGTATAAATTAATTTACCTAATAACCTATATTCATACTTATTCGCCAAACAGACAATATCAATTTTTCTAAGACGTTCCACGACCGTCTTTTTTCTCTACGAACGCGTAAAATAAATAAGGGTAGCCGGGGTAGATAGTTGTATAATGTCCAAGTAACGAGCTCTTCTCATTGGTTGGTTAATGTGAAGATTAAAGTGAAGAAATACGAAACCAATGAATACGCGATGGTTGCAAAGTCATGGTGAAAGGTAGAATCTTGCGAACGAATAAGCTATTACATGTTAATCTATAGTAATTGTATTATTTTAATATTATATTTAGTATTATTAAGTATACTGTCAAGACTTGAGTACGTCTATTTATGTGTGTAATTACTAATTTATTAAGCTATTATTGATCATCGTTAGTATTATAATTTACTGTAGATTATACTTTTACTTAGCTTAAGATGAATAATATTTATTTTTGAACGATGCTGAGTTTACTCATCTTTATTATGTTATTATTGGATTTTATCTTCGTTTTTAGTTGAAGTTCTTTTATTTTGATTTATTTTAACAAAGTATTTTATATGAATAATTTTACATTTTTTAAAGTAAACAGCAAAAAGCATTTAGTAAAATTTATTTTAAGTCCTCTTTAGGGAGAGATAATGTCCTCTTTGATCACCCTGCAATTTTCGTTTATGACAACCACAATAGTGACAAGTCTCAACTTATAATTGTATTCCAATAATTTTAACTTGATTTGTACGAATATAATATTAAACACTAAAATAAGTTGTTCAACAATAAAACTTCGATTTTAGAAAATATTTTTAAGTCATTCTAAGTTTTAAAATCTAAATAATGTTCATATTATACGAGCCAAATATAAAATATTATGAAAGATAATACGAATAGATCTGATTCACTTGATCTCATATACTATTAAATATTAACATATTCAAATATACACAATATTAAAATATAAACATGTAGATATATAATTTATATGACGAGATTTCATTATACATAGAGAAACAAGATGAAACATTTATGAAACATTTATTCAACGATCTTACGATGAATATTTCTAGACTTTTATATTTTAGTTCAATAGAATTTTGAATGTAATATAAGTTTACTTCGGTGCTTAAAATCATAACTTAAGAGAGGTATAACTCAAACACATATAACCTATTCAAAGTACAAATCGTATCTTATGTCTCCAATGTAATGCATATATTATTATATAAATTCTCACTCTAATTCTGGGGATTACAAGACTATTATTGGACAAACTGTCAAACTAACCAAGACTATACGGTTTTCGTGAATTTTTTTAAATTATACCTATTGTTAATTTAAATAACCGATGTAAAATATTAAATTTAAATTTTCTTAATAAATTCTTATAAAATAATATTGTTTATTGGCTAGGATAATTAATAATATTCATTGTTTTGATTATATAATTAAACCAATGTTATTATCCAGATAGCACTTATTATTATATCATATCCCCTTTCCACATTCACGTTTTGAAGTGATAAATAGTACCTACCAAGTCAATTATTTAATGAATACTATATATACCAGTGCCTGTGTTATGCGTCTAAGGACTAGAATTCAAATTTTGCATAAAATATTGAAATTTATATTTTGTTTTAATTTTAATTGTTATTAGATACAGTATTACTATCTAAAGTTTAACTAATTAAATTAACCTTTAAAATTACAGTAAAAAATATTATTTTAATTTGAATAAAAAATAATTTTATATCGTATCGGACACTCTATAATACTAAAATGTAAGTTATTGAAAATATAAAACTTAAGTAAAGGTTAAGTTAGGTAGTAACTAAAAAGTAGTAGTAATTAGTAGTAACTAAAAAAATATTTCAAAAATGCGAGTGAAAATGCCTCTAAAATTTGGTAAAACCCATTACGTAATTTAATTCAATTCATTATTCACTAAATCACATGTATCGATGTATCAAGTTTTAAAACTAGTATTTTTTTAAGCTACCTACTATACTATAGGTATACTATGACTAGCTAGTATAAGTATACTTGGCATTGACTATTATGTTAATTATGTTTTAGGCCGTCGATAAGATTCAAATCAAATACGTTTTGTTTTACTTTCTATTTAGTATGAAAAGTGCAGCGAACGGTACAATTTAATTTTCGTCCGCTTTTGTCTTGAATCACATGCATGAATAGCGACGAATTAACGTCATGACTGTTCCAAAACTCGGAGATGAACTACAAAAACCCGTGGCAGTGACAGATGATTCAAATTCAGCGGATAAGCCAAATTTGAAAGGAGATTGGTTGAATTTTTTCCTATTGATATTGCTGTACACGATGCAAGGCATACCATTAGGCATAGCATCGGCAATGCCGATAATTTTGCAAAGCAACAAAAATGTATCTTACAAAGATCAAGTAAATATCTGATTTGACATTAAAAATTACGTGTCTATGTGATTAATATTGTATAATTCAAATGTATAATACACTTGTATTAGTACAACATTGTGTTCTTATTACTCCTGTATAACATAAACGTGGTCTTGTTTTGTTCCAGGCTTTATTTAGTCTAGTCGCATGGCCGTTTAGCCTAAAACTGATATGGGCCCCTTTGGTGGACGCGTTATACGTACAAAAAATTGGAAGACGAAAATCTTGGCTCATACCTGTTCAATATTTAATGGGTACGTGTATATTAATATAAATGTTTCCGTTGCCCACTTAAATTGATGCGAGGGAGTATCTACCTATCAGATATCTTTGTAGATTAGGTTATGATTTGTGTATATCAGCAGTATTTGTCTGCTAATTAAATTTATGGTATGCGTATTTCACGAACTTAGGCATTTGACAAAACATATACCTATAGTTGAATGTTTCAGAGTGATATATTTTTATATCCATTAAAGTATTTTAATATTTAGTAAAGGGCGATTCATACATTACGAATCAATTATTATTTCAAAATGTGGTAATATTTTTTTAAAATATTTTATACACATGGTTTAAATTTGTTACAAAACAACTTGTTTTCTAAAAAAATGTATTTCCAAATGTTTTTACAAAGATATATACGAGTAGTTTCTGGGTGTGGTAAGCTGTTACACCTTAAAATGTTGGTCCACTAATCCACTCATCTAAACTTTTAATACTAATAATGTATAAAACTATAAAAACTACTCACCGTAAATTCGTCTTTTATGTATCGAAATACATAGAAAATTGTTCTGCTTTGAAGTATGAAGTTAAAAATGTGCGTTGTCATTCAAAAAGCATACAAACTTAAAAAATGTAAAGGATAAGCAATATTATCTAATAATATATACTTTTTTTAACGACTGGAAACTGTTTAAATTTCTTTTTCCGAAAACATTTATACTGTTTGAAATAATGAGTGTGAACGATAAAAGAATCATCCGATATATAAAGTAGTGAACTGCGTCTTCCATATATCCTATCAAACCGTTTGTGTTAAACAGGAGCATGCTTCATTTATATGGCCGGCAATATCGACGAGTGGTTGCCAGAAACACGAAAGCCGGAGATACTAAAATTGGTATCAGTATTTTTCTTCGCGAAAATCTTGGCCGCTACTCAAGACATAGTGGTCGATGGTTGGGCACTGACAATGCTCAAGAAGTCAGTGTTATTGTTAACTTGTTTATTATTTCGAATTGGTATAACATATTAAACAAAATGTTGTATTTCGTTTTATCATACAGGAATAACGTAGGCTATGCTTCTACGTGTAATGCATCCGGTCAAGTGATGGGCACAATGATAAGTTCTGTGTTTTCCGTCTTGTTGACTTCAGAAGACTTTAGCAACAAGTACTTACGGAGTGAACCGGGTGTGGGAGGAGTGTTCACTATGAAATGTAAGCGAGTAAAACCCATTTTGGCAGATATTTAGTGAATGATAAAAAAAACTGAATGGTCAACATATACAATAGTTACTAATTCTGAATATATATACAGGTTTATTCTATGTCTGGGGTATTCTATTTACATTAATAACTACATTGATTGCAATTTTCAAAAAAGAAAAAGATAACAGATTAGAGGACGACCACGTAAAGCTCAACATTGTTCAAAACTATTCACTATTATGGGACATTTTAAAACTACCAAATATTCAATTATTGGCAATATCATTGCTGACAGCGAAGGTAAATATTCTATTGTAACCCTCCAATTTAAAGCGTCTTTAATTACATAAGCTTACTAATTTAAAATATTTGCTCGAACCATTTTTTTTTGAAATTTTGTTTTGACATTGGTTCTATAATTCATTTATAACTTTTCTCTAATGTATTTATTTTATATATATTTATTTCAAATATTCCATAATATGGAATATTATATAATATATAATATATTATTATGTACGTATTTAACCTTTGAAGTTCTGATGGAATGATAGTTTTATACATATTTTGAAATCAATATGTATTACAATTTTAATTGAATCTATATTGATCTTTTATCCATCAATAATAATGTGTATTGTGTATATTATTCAAGATTGGATTTGCTGCAACTGATAGCGTGTCAATTTTAAAACTCATTGATGCAGGAGTACCAAAAGACAACATTATGGTTATACACACAACAATGTTTGTTGTAAAAATGATTTTACCACTTCTTGTAGCGAAATACACGTCTGGGCCAAAACCGATGAACATATACCTAACAGCAACTCCTTTCAGGTAGATAAACATGAATATAATTAGGAGGATAACTTTGGATTGCATAACAATATTCAAACATTCAGCAAATAAAAATAAATTTGAGTTGTTTTATTAATACAATATTATAATTATAAAACATCTAAACCACAATTAACGATCACTATTTTAGTGGATACGCTTTTCGACTACGGTTTTGTCACAATCCAAAATTCCATTTGACAATTGGGTCAAAATGTGGTTAGCACTGTACTCTGAAGGTAACAGAATCAATATAGAAATAACTAAACAATCATCTTAATTAATTGCATTAATTTCATTTTACATCCAATTTACATTACAGTTGAGATACTGCTCATGGGTTAATTAAACACCTGAAATTTCCTGACGTTGTGTAGAGCCTTTAAATTAATACTTTGTTTAGTAATTATTAACAAATACTACAAATGGAATGTGGCAAACGATTACGTTTCAAAATATATCTCAATTTCTATTTACAATTCTAGTCGGTGTTAATAATACTATACAGCATATATAATATAATCAATCTATTACCAAAACTATATGGTTACATCAAAATGTGTCCTACTGTGTCCTACTAAGCCTATATCGAAAGTTAATTAGTATTTTGTACTGATGAAATTGCAGCGTCAACATATTCTATTAATCCTTACATACCATATTCACTAAGGGCCAAGGCAATGTGTAGTACATACTTGATCAGATGTTAATTCCAATCCAAATTTTCGTTACCCACCGAGGCCTTCTTAATTGAAAGTAATAAAACATACAACATTCAATTTTAGTCACGTTTAGACGTTTAAATTCGGGTTTTTATACGATTTTGTTTTATATACTTATTAATGTGTTTTTTTACGAGTATTTTCAAATAGAAATAAGTATTGAAAATCTTCATAATCTTCTTTCTTTTTGGCTTATATATTCAAGATGTTCCTATACTTTATGAAAACCAGCTAACTGCTGTAACAAATATATGTAATTATATGTATACAATTATCTGATTGCATCTAAATTGCGTGATGAAAAAAATTAGTTATTTTGGTTGACATCTGAATTGCGTGTGTAAAAGATTGAACATACGACCGGTTTTTGCCGACTTCTACATAATTTTTATGGTATGAAATATAAAGCTAGTAAATAAAGGGGTCCATTCAAAAATGAGGCAACTTCATTTTTCAAGACACAAAAAAAACTTGGGACCTATCTGGTTTTTCAACAGAAAAAAAATCCGACAGCTTCCTGTAGTTACATTATATTTTCCATATGGGTGGTTGGATTTGCCTCGTTCTTGCACAGATATACTTATTAAATTTTTCTTAAACATTGTAGACGGGCAAAAACCCATTTTCAACAAAAATGGAGTTGTCTCGTTTTTGTACGGACACCTTACAATTCGATAGTATATATAGGTTTTCTCAAAGGGACTAAAAATATGTTTATATTTTATACATAAAACTTAGCCTTCAGTTTGGCTTTACGACTAATTAAAAATTATTTTAGTTAATTGAATTTATTAATTATTTAAATTTTTAAATTTTTAAAGGAAAACTGAACTTAATTTTGTTAAATTTACTATTAGTTCAAGTTATACATATTATAACACACTATTATTTGTGTGTCTACTTCTAGTTTTTTTTATTTTAAAATTTTCAGTATTAACACATCTTTACTGAATATTAAAATACAATGTCGCTACTATTTAGCTCAGATCAGTTCTATCGCGGAAAAAACACGCACTCAACTCAGCTTTGTCACGAAAAAACCTCGATTCAAGCTAGTTAATGATTTTCACACTCAATTTGGAAACACAGAAATTAATATTACATGCAAGTATTTGTTTTTTTACAAAATCTTGACATTTCTGTAAAAACATTGATTTTTTAATACCATGATTTATAATAATTGATTTTAAGCAAATGACTACTTATTTATTGATAAGTATTAAATAAAACGGAATTTACGTTTTATGAATTAGACCTTTAATAAGGTTACAAATAGTTTGTAATAAAGCAGCTTATCATTGTCATGAAAATATTATTGTAATAGTTTTAAGCAATTGTTCTGACACTTACAATATGAATTACATAGTTTTCGGTTCAATAAACAATTTTATAACATGACCGGAAAGATAAATGTATTAGTTTTACATAGTGACGTTGACATGCTTTTTTTTTAAATAAAATTGTTGTGTTTGTCATCCTGGTTTGATGAACTTTACACAATATTTCCTTTAACTAATTTTCAACACCGAGGTTCGTTTTTGATATCAATTTTAATATGTATTTATTTATTTATTTATTTATTTATTTATGAAACGGGACAAGCCCAATACAAATGTTGAAATTAATCTTAAAACTAAAGTATGTACAGTAAAAATATAAGAAATTAAATTAACAGTGTAAAACATTACCTTAGGAATGGTTTAGTCCCCCAATAGAAACGATGGATCCTCGTTCGCTAGTCGCATCGTGCGTGACATAGGACAGTTTCGCAAATAATTCACAGAACAAAAGGGAATATGGAATATTAATAACATGTCTAGTTCTCTGGTTTTTTTTTTTTTATTAATTTTAAAACTTTTACACTCAGATAATTTGATACCGCTTAGTGTTCATGGTCTCCATTTTTCAGCCATCATGAACTCAAAAAATTATTGTTTCAATCTGTACCCAGAATCTCGATACATATAACAACTTATTACTATATTATATTTCTTATAGAATCTTCACTAATTCCTTTGTGTACAATATGTAAAATTATTTACTAGAATAAAAATTCAAACGAGTAAATACTTAGTTTCTGAGAAATAAACATTATGTTCATATCAAGGTTAATTGTTTCATGATGATAGGTTTGGAAAATATGAGCTCACTCATTGATAAAATCTATCAACACTTAATAATTTGTAAAAATTACCTAAGAATAATAAATACAAGAATCAATTTATGTTTAAATATTTTTAAACATTTTTAAAGACTATTATTTTTATTGTATACATTTGAATAACTTAGAAACTATTCTAACCTCGATTTAGACTGGTAAATCAAATTTTACAGAAAAAAAACCATCTACTGAGGCGGATTCTTATTTGAAAAACAGAAGTTTGTATCACCGTTCCGAACTCTCCTTGAATCTCAAGTTGCCTTTACTGTGGTCTTTAAGTATTTAGTTTAGGTATAAAAATGTCAAAAATCATGTTTAGAATAGCTGTATTGTTAAAGAAAAATATAAGGTATTCATACTTGTTGAATATATATTATATGTTTCTGTTATTGATTTTATTAACCTTTATGTGTCTGGAAAGGTACCCGGGTAACTTTTTAGTTTTTAATTTTTTTACTCTTAAATTTTTAGTATGCATGTTTTGAAATTCCATGAAATCATTCAATAGAATTTACAGTTTATAAAATTATATATTTTAATTGAAAAATTTTTACTCATCGAACTTAAAAAAAATTCTTACGTTTTACACGTTTTAAGGACGTAGCAGATACCCGGGTATTCCTATATTTTTTACAGAAATTCAGATTTAATTTACATCAATAAAAAGTTTTATCTTGTTTGATAATCATTTTTATTTTATTTAACTTATAACATATTATTAAATCTCATTATTTTACTGTAACTGTATTTGTGGTGATGTTAAATACTTTTAAACCAATAATATTTGAGCATGAAACATGATAAAATATATTTATATTATAATAATCTTCGAATTTAAGTGGCTTTAAATATAATTTCAGATTACTTTGGAACATTTCATTTTTGGCGTTTATTTATTATACACCGAGATTGATAACAATGAATGGGTTTGTCAATATTCCAATATATTACTATGCACTTTTGGTATTTATATTATCAATACATGATGTGAGTAATAGCTGTTTATTTATTAATAGGTTATTTAAATTAGCATAATTTTGATGGAAATACTGTTGTGACAAATTTGAATATCAATTGAGAAAAATATGTTATGAAATATTATGAAAAATTAAATGTATTATTATTATTACCTAATAATGTATCGATAACTTTGTGATTTCATTTGTATAGATTCTAGCCAACATTATGACTGTATCTATATTAGCTTTTTTCTCTCGAATAAGTGATTCACGTTTTGGTGGTACCTACATGACTTTATTGAATACACTTTCAAATTTGGGAGGAGCATGGTCGTCTTCGGTCGCTATTGGAATGATAGATTTCCTAACTTTTAAAGAATGTTCTTTAGATCACAAGAATAATTGCTCTACACCAAATCTAAAAAACGTGAGAAATTCAAATATAATTAGTAATGTTGATTAAAATTAAAACAATGACAATATTTATGAACATTATATTATGTCTGCATATGATGTCATTCTAAAAAAATGTTTGTTTAATTTTTTCATAGTCTAGTTGATTATGATATTGAAATTGTATACTTGTTTTCTATATGCAGGAATAATATGTGGGCAAGAGATTGCTTTAGGATAGTTCATAGGAAACAATCTCTAGTATAAAAAAAATATTCAAAATTATAGAGAATTTAATTTAGCAATATAGATAGATAAAGCAGATAAAAGAGACTTATAATTATTCACTTGTGTTAATTTCCTGAAATGTACATACTATTGCTTTATATTAACTTTTCAGATTTTGTTTGAATCTTATTTTTTAGTTTTAACCGATTTAATGGTGTTGGCATAAGTTGGTATTTAAAATAATTTTTTATTCAATTTGTATTCAAATTTTTGACTGCTTTGTTTTTTTTTTATTATAGATGTGTAAAACCAATGGAGGTGATTGTATTGTTATAGTCAACGGTTATTACGTAGAAACGGCTGTTTGTACCATTATCGGAATCATTTGGTTTTGTGTTTTCAGAATTATCCTTAAAAAAGTTCAAACTAAGAGCCCTTCTCATTGGTTGGTCAATATAAAGAAACCTTCAAGTTAGAAAAATGAAATAAATGTATAATATTGCTTTTTGTATATTTTTAGCCGTAGTAATCATAGTAATTAACATTTCGAAGGCCTATATATAAATTATATATATTGTAATTTATTTATTATTTTTGTGTTATAGATCAAAAATTGTTATTAGGTTCTCTATTGAGACATTTAATTATAATGTTATAGCAATGTTATTACTAATTATTCCTCTATAATGTTAGATTTGTATCTATTCTATGGTCGCAGCATACCGGTTCGATAGGAATCAAGTTATAATATGAATATAATATCATCTATTTATGAAGAAATCGAGATGTTTAACTAGAGATAACTAGAGATGACTAGAGTTTGTACGCAAATGCGGCCGCTGAACAACTTTTCATCAACTCTTAAGACATCAGTCACTTCAAACGCCTGAAGCCGTATGGCATAGTTTAAGTCACTAAGAACATTGACTACCTCATCGGAGATACAACTCCAATCATGTATTATGTATTATACCTTACTCACCTATTTTTCACTGTACTTATAAATGTCCCTAGGTTGTTTAATTAAAGATGCTTTAGGGTACCTAGTTAATTATTTTCTAGTTTCATTTTTAACAAGGATACCCGGCACATTATAATATAATATGAATGATAACTTAAGCTATTTATTCTATTTATTCAAATTATTTCATAATGACATAGTGAAGAGTTTGATGTGAAAAGATTATAGGCATGTTTAATTGGAGGACTAAAATAATTAATAATTAATAATTAATTCAGGGTAGTTGCTATAGAAATCTATACGAATTTCGACCATCGATTGTGATCAAAGTCGATAAACGTGTGTATAATGTTGTCAGTTAACATAGATAGTTAGATTAATAATATTCCTATAATACCAGGAGTATGTATTCAAATGCTTACAATAATTTGATTTTAAATTTATTTAATATATTAGTTATATGTTTCCGATTTAGTGAACTAAGATATACAAATTTAATCATTTAAGTGACGTGGAATACTACTTCCTTAACCGATTAGTCGTGTTATCTACAAAATAACTGTCGAGATAAGTGTTTTATTCTGACAATATTTAAGGCCATCTAAAAACTTACTTATTGGTGCGATCAGTGGTACACAGATATTTTTATACATTGGAGGAGTTATATAGAAAAATCTTATTTTTGTATAATATTTATTTCAAAATATTTTATTAATTGTATTTATTTGTATACATCTATATTTGTAGAAAAAAATACAGAATACCCCCGCTCCGTGTGTACCCCACTGGGTGAAATTAGTGAAAGTCTTCTGGTTTTGAAGACACAGAGGTACCTACATTAATATTATGTGTTAAAATATTAGTGTTTGATAGCTCATAAGACATTGGTGTAAGTTTAAATTTAAAATTAGAAATTTATATTTATTGGTAAAAAATCGTATAAATATATTGTTGTAGTCCGATAATAGCAAAAGAGGGAGCGGGGAAATAGATATTTTATGCAACAATTTTTTTGTTTTTTGTAAAAAGTGACTACTTTATTTGTCTAAAGATTTGTTGTACGTGCAGCGTGAATTACTATTCACCCACCAAATAAATATAAATAATTTTTTTGAATTATGGGGTTTCGCCTACTTGCTTTTATTTTTTATGATATACAAGATTATTTAATTAATTTATTTTAAGTAATTATTATAGAAAGTAAAGATACAGTTACTTTGTAGAACGTAAATTAAACCCTAATTTAAGACGATTATTTTATAAATATTATTTGAAAATATTTCTGTTGGAAATTACGTTTATACCTGTTCAATTAGAAAGTTTCCAATAGAACTTGAATGAAATTTATCGTTAATTCCAAATGGAATGTTCAAAACAAGGTGGCTTTACGTATTTTAATTTATAATACATTAAGTCAACTTGACAGTCAGCAGTGATGTATTTAGGATTTTGCTGCCCTTGGTACATATTTTCTATATTTTCGTTTGGTTCATTGGTTGTATATAATGTTTAAAACAATTTAATTTACCAATTATAAAATACTATTAAAAGAAAATTGTTATAAAATGTTATAACTTATACCTAAAAAAATTTAAAAAATGTAAATATCGTAAAGATGCATTAGTATTGAAAATTACAAAAAAAAAACATTTTACAAATACATTTAATACAAATGATGTACGTTTATTAAATTATGAGAATTATTCCGGGACAAAGTAATGAGAAAAAACATAATGAAGGCTCTATTGTTGAAGGTTTGCAAATGAAAAACTGTGACGGTTTTTTCAGAAAATACTCTTGTATTGACTAAAAGACCGTTCTATGTTGACAGATTTGACAGGGGCGTATTTACGTTTACTATATCAGAAGGAGTGAATTTAATGTCCGGAGTCCCTTGTTGATTTTTAAAAATTAAAACATCTCTGATGATTTTAATAGTTTGAAATCCAGAATTTTTTTAAATTAAATTTTTTATTTTTCAACTATTTTATATTTATATCGTCCGGAATTACCAATATCGGCAATAACTGAACTAGTTCTAATCTGTACAATGTAATGCCATGTGCCAGAAATAAGTATGTAAATGCCATTTAGATTAATTATAATATTTGGTGGTCATCAAAAATTACTAATCGTGTTAATTTAGACTATAAAGTTAATGTTTAGTCGTCGAAAATCAATAAAAAAATAAAAAAATACTAAAATGTGCACAAAATATGTACTTATTTAACAAATATATAAAAATATGTATTTATACCAAAATATGTAAAAATATGTAAAATAAATTTGGGTTTATTTCCATTAGAATGATTTAAATCGTACACATTTTTTTTTTATCAATTTAAAAATATCTTATTCCAATAAAAATATGTATTTACTATAAAATCCGTTCCCTACTTATAACAATGTATAACTATTGTAATATAATATAAATTTACTTTTCATTGGGTAGTTCATACATTAATATATGTATTTAAAGATAAAACAAATAAACACCCAAGTTAAATTAGATTTTTGATGAGTTTTTTTCTGTCATAATCGTCATAGCTTAATGATTAATTATGTCGACTGTGTTTCACGTCATTCATGGACGATCTTTGATATGATTTGAACCATGTAAACTGCTTTTGTTAACTGCCAGACAACCGAATAAAACTAACCATGGTCAGATATTTATTTATATTGTTTATAATTTGTATAGAACGAAATCCAAAAGTACTTTTTCAAAAACATATAAACGGTAAATATTGAGAATTTTGTTGTTGTTGTTAAAATAAAATGTAATAATATTATGTAGGCGCTCTAGTCGTAAAATGTGGAACTAAAATTCGTTGTTAACATAATATTATTAAATTTATAGAATAAGATTAAAAGGTGATAACTAGGGCTCGGATTTTGGCTGCATCCGAATTGCATGCCAAAAATAAAAATGTCCGAATTGCATGCCGTCTCCTGTAGGGGTTTGTCCGGATTGCATGCCGTACACCACACGTTTATTTACTATGCACTTAAACAACTTAAACTTTTTTTTGGACTTTTCTATTTTTTTTTAAAAAAATGCATGTATAGAAACGATCTTTTATGTATGGTTGTTACAACTGTTTAGTGATTAGTTTCTGGATTGAAATATTTTTATATCCGTGTAAATATTTTCCCAAACAGTATCTATATTGGAGTAATGTAGTGTATTGTGGTCTCAGTCTGTTTCTCGAAATGTCAAAAAAAATCACCAAATTTAAAAATAATATTATTTAAAATACACTCACTTGATTGTCCTAAACTACAATAGTTTTATTTAACTAATGGCCTTTGTTGTCGATGAAAAATAAATAGTTTTATTTTATGATTCTTATTCACAGTTTCACCTTCTACAATATATATATGTTTTATTGTAATGTAACAAAATCTCGATCCTCCAGTTGAAAAGTAAGTTATTTATTCGGATATACCCATCTAAGAGATGGAATGCAATTCGGACAGACCCGATTTTTATTTATTTATTTGTCATGCAATTCGGATGCACTGCGGATTTTGTAGAAAATGCTTCTTTTGGGGGGGAGTATGATGGAAAGATAATTCTTATATATAAATACATTTTGAATCGTTCCGATTTTATTGAAGTAAACTTTGTTTAGCTTTTTTTTTGCTTTTTTCCACAAAACCTGCCTTTTATTGCTTTTTCCCATATTTGGTTCTTTTTTCTATATTTTTGTACATTTTTCTTGAATATGTAGCTTATTTATATGTATATTATACTTGGACTAAATTAATATTACCAGAAATTATAAAACCAGTGAAAAAACAAGTAATTAATGTATGAATGATAAAATAACGATGGTTATTGTGCCAAAATAGGTTTATCTGCAATTATCTATAGTTGTATTTACGACTCAAGGAAAGTGAAAATTATCTGAATTATACCTGCGTATTTTTATAGCACGTTCCATTACTTTAGTTAACTGGTAAATATCAATCGACAATCAGTGAGGTATAGTGCTCTACATAATCGTCAAAATGCCAAAAGTTAAAAATTAAAATTATATGAGCACCTATTAGTATGAGTTTTAATGAAAGTAACCGTGACTAAATATATGGTCGTAAATTCCTTTTTTAAATTTTAAGTGTAATTGAAATTTGTTTTTTTAGAATTAAATTTGATAAATGGTTTTTTTACTTTTTTGGCAACTTAAAATTCTTTTTTAAGGATTTATTTTGCTACAAAATCCGAGCCCTAGTGATAACTAATAAGTGATAAGCCAAGGAACGGATTTTAAGTTTAACCATTTAAATTAAATAAATATAAGTTTTTTGTATGCTGGTACTTTGAACGTAGAAAAGTTAACTATACAGTTGAGTAGGTATGTTTCTTGACATTTTCAATACATTAACACACATTTAAACATTTCATTCTTAATATTTTAATACGCTGGTAAGTTGATATTTTTTTAAATATTTCAACGATAAAGTAGTTATATTTCTTAAATAAATGTTCAATTTTGTGGGTTTTTTTTATCACTTTATCGTAATGAATGAGTGGGTTTTCCGACAATTACGAAAGTAAAAATTTTAAAATGTATATTATTTTCAAATGCTTTTTACATGATAAAAAATATAGCTATTTCGTATATAAAAAATGTTGTAACCGAGTTTATAAAAACAATAGTAAAAACTTTAATGTGAAATCATATATTTAAATGAACAATAGGTATTATTGTTATTCGCATTTAAGCATTTAAATATTTTTACTTTTATACTAAATTAAATCCCGTTCCTGAGTGCGATAACAGTATTATTATCATGACTAAATAACTAATAAATACCTCCGTACGTTATTAGTAGCATACTATAATAAGTTATTTAGCAATGGTTATTATTCAATTAAATAGATTGTACGTTTACCTACCCCAAGGTTAACATAATTATACACCAATAAAATTATTTACATTTACAGTAATTGTTGGTGTACCCTCTTGAGGGGCTGAGGCGAAATGTTTTTTTGTTTAAATCGTATACTAGTATTATATGTACTTATAATAATACCTATAATCTACTATTCTACTGCAACGGAAATTTGCAACTTAATTTTAATAATTCTTGTGTTTTTGACCCAGAGTTCATTACGATTGACATCGTTTTCTATCCCCTACTTACGTCAGCCGTTGTTCATTTAAAATATAATATATATTTAAAAATCTATAACATAAAAGTAGATATATTTTGGAGGTAAATATTGACATTTAATATCTTATCAATTTTTTTTTATCAGCTTATAGAAAACTATTTTCTATTGTAATGAATATCGGTAAAATCATGATATAAATAAAATCTACATTTTATTTACATCATGGATAAAATATTGTTACAAATAAGAAAATAAGGAAATCATTCCATGCCACCGGAAATTGGGTCATTGAGAATTCAATGATTTATTATAATTATATGGGTGATATTGAGCTTAAGAAATATATCCATTATAATGATTGATGGATACCAGATTTCAAATCAGGTATTATAAAAAAAGCGAAGAAATGATGAGATTTGGAAAGATAAATGATTCTATCATGTAATTATTATGTTATGACCTTATATGCAGTAAAGAGTTAAAGGATATTTAATTGTACCTATACATTTCACTATTTCAGAAATAACTACACACGCTTTATGTTTTATTTATCGACAAAACGGAATGATCTGTAACAAACGTTCTGAGTAAAAATAAAATAAAATGATATTAAATTAATTTTTATTATCGATAGTAAATACTCTAATATTGTATGATACTTAATTCTGTTTATTATACTACTTATAAATCTCTTATTTTTATTAATTTGAGAGTACAAAAATTTCGCAATACCTGCCCAGTATAATTACAGTTCTCTATGATTCACAGTAATGTGGGTACATATAAACATGGCCTCTAAATTGAGTCTCTAAACTAAAAAAAAAAAAACATAATAATTGGTCCTCTAATCCGGTTGATAAAATAATCGATTATAACAGTGCCACATGCCACAGTGGACTCCCTTGAACAAAACGACTTTAATAGTTGAGTCCCTAATAAAAATATATCAAATAAATATATTAAAACATTATGTTAAATTACTCAAGTACATTAAATTGGTGAT